GAATTCTCTGCTAACAGATGCATGACTATGCATGTTTGAAAGCCCATTAAATCACGCACCACACAGAGTACATCCTATTGTATATAATTAAAATTAAAAAGCAACCAGAATGGGGGGGAGAGGGTAAATGGAATTCAAACTGGGGCAAATGAATCGTACTGTGAAAGCATGACAGCCACACCAACAGGAAAGGAGTGACAGAAAAGGAAATAAGGAATTCTAGGAGGGGGGAGTACTTTAGTGAGACGTTACAGAGAAAAAAAAATAAATAACACGAATATTGTACTCTGCTAAGTTGTTTGTCTGGGCCGGGGCTGTAGTGTAGTAAGCACTGCCTCTCCCCACAGTGCCAGCATCCGAGACGGGTGCCTGTTCAGTCCTGGCTGCTCCCTTAGCATTCCAGCTGTTAATGTACTTGGGAAAGCAGTAGAATATGGCCCAAAACTTGGGACACTGAACTCGTGTGGGATAATTACAGAAGCTCTTGGCTGTGGCCGCGCCCAGCTTTGACTGGTGCAATCATATGGTGGTGGGGGGGGGGGGGGGGGGGTAAGCCATCACATGGAAGACCTCTCTCTTCCAGCAAAACAAAATGTTTCTCCTAAGGGTGTCGTTTACTCATTCTGAAAATTACTATATAAGAATTGCCTTAATTTAACCTGTAATATTTTTTTTTGAACCTGTCATTGATACTGTCTCAACCCATGTGTTTTGAAAAATTGAACTTGCATTATTTTCAGCATATTGTTTACTCAATACTATGTCAATTAATTCCATAACACTGTATATTGTTTTGTTGGGGCTTTTAACTGACCGGGATTTTACTCTGCCGGCTCTACCTTCAGACCAGAGAAGGTCTCCCCAAGAAGCCGTTGAACTTATCTGGACAATAAGATGCTGTACTCTATGCTTGGTATATATTTGCAATGAAGGAAGCTCAACTGAACTTGAACTGTGGTTACGCAACAAGGTGGAGGAATCCACCATGGGGGGAGAGTTATGGGAGGGGTGGGGGAAATCCCAGTGCCTATAAAACTGTGTCACATAATGCAATGTTATTAACAATAATAAAAAAAAAAGAATCTAGGGTTGAAAAAAACAAGTAGATATAACATAGATAATGAAGACTCGGGTTTCTCACTGTCACAAGAACAAAGTTACAAATAAAGAAAGGCAGAAGGCTGGAATAACTGGTGAAGTTCAAACATTTGTATTAACTCACAGGTTCAGACAGCCATACAGTGTGTGCGTGCGTGTGTGTATGTGTGTGTGCGAGAGAGAGAGAGAGAGAGAGAGAGAGAGAGAGAGAGTAAGAGTGTGAGTGTGTGGATTGGCACACACATATGCAACACTTCCAGCTCCACCAAGAAGGGGACAAACAGAGCCCGGCGCAGAGGCCTAGCAGCTAAGTCGTTGCCTCAAACATGCCAGGATCCCATATGGCTCCTGTCTGGTTCTGATCCCTGTCTGAATCTAATCCCGGCAGCCCCACTTCCCATCCAGCTCCCTGCCTATGGCCTGGGAGAGCAGTCGAGGACAGCCCAAAGCCATGGAACCCTGCGCCTGTGTGGGAGCAGAAGAGCTCCAGGCTCCTGGCTTTGGATCAGCACAGCACTGGCAGTTGCAGTCACTTGTGGAGTGAATCAACGGATGGAAGATCTTTCTCTCTGTCTCTCCTCTCTGTATATCTGACTTTCCACTAAAAATAAAATAAATCTTAAAATAATTAAATAAATAAATAAATAAAGACCTTTTCAATGTCCAGAACCTACAACCTGGGGACCGATCTGCACCTTTTTTCTTTTCTTTTTTTGGCATAGGAAACAAATGCCAACTCATTTCTACCTACAAAAGTTCACTAAGAGCTCCAATCATGCCTCACGCAACTCAATCCAACTGCCAACAGTATTAACACACGGACATCTGATTGGCCCACTTCTAATGAGGCTCCCTGGACTAAAATGTTTTGCTGCAAATGACATGCAGGCATGCTACATGCAACAAAGCAGAATACCAGACCTACTATTAAATGCTTACTCTCTTATTCAAGTGTAAGCAGGACAAGAGGCAGTACTTCCTAAAATTTCAGAAATGAGGCAATTTAAGCCTTTGAGATGAAAATTATAGACTGCATGGGTTTGAGTTTTTTTGATTTGTGCCAAGATAAACAGTTCAGGAAGCAGAGCTGTTCAAGAGGGACTGCAGATCCCACCCTAGTCCTTTATCACAGCCTGCGTGGCCACAGCAGCTCCCCTCGGCCAGGACTCACTGGTTGTTCTGCTTTCCAACTCCTCTCCTCTTACGACTGTTTAAAACATCACGCTGGTGACAACTTCCCGGATAAATATCCACCCAAAGTGTGCCTCTCTCTCCTGTACAGATCTAAAACATCCCAGCTAAGCCTCGTTAAGATTTTTTTTTAAGATTTTTTATTTTATTGGAAAGTCAGATATAAGGAGAGAAGGAGAGATAGAGAGGAAGATCTTTCGTCCAATGATTCAATCCCCAAGTGGCTGCAACAGCTGCAGCTGAGCCGATCGGAAGCCAGGATCCAGGAGCTTCTTCTGGTTCTCCCACGTGAGTGCATTGGGCCATCCTCGATATTAAGACATTGTAGGAGTGTGAAGTAAAAAATGAGGTGGGAGTCCGGCATGATAGCGTGGCAGTTAAAGTTCTCGCCTTGAACATGCCGGGATCCCATATGGATACCAGTTCTAACCCTGGCAACTCCACTTCCCATCCAGCTCCCTGCTTGTGGCCTGGGACAGCAGCAGAGGAAGCCCCAAAGCGTTGGGATCTGTACCCACATGGGAGACCTGGAGAAAGCGCCTGGTTCTTGGCTTTGGATCGGCTCAGCTCCAGCTGTTGCAGGCACTTGGGGAGGAATCATCAGATGGAAGATCTTCCTCTCTGTCTTTCCTCCTCTCTGTATATCTGCCTTTCCAATAAAAATAAATAAATCTTAAAAAAAAAAAAAAAAAAGAAGAAGATGGGCATGAGCCCAGATGACCAGCACACACCCTTGCTGAGTGGCACCTCCATGCCCTAAGTCCACCAGATAAGAAAACAAGGAACAGATTCTTCATGCTTTCACTCTGCGCTTTCAGGAACCTGACCCTTCCACCCACACAAGTCAACCTAACAAATAACTGGACAGTTTCCAGTTTTATCTAGTTACCCGAATTCATCCTTTCCTGAGTCTCGTGGAATACATGGGACGATGGCATTTGCGAGTTCCCTTTCTGGACAGCCCAGGTCAGCTGACCAGGAGGCGGCCCAGGACCCACGTTTCATCACGTGACGTGGAAGAGCTGAAGGAGTACGGCTTACTTCCTTCCCCATTGGAACCTGTCCTGCTGGGAATGTGGAAAGCAGCAGAGGAGAACGCAGAAGGCTCTGGGGATCAGCGGCAGCCTGGCTCGGCAAGATGAAGTCAGGTTATGTCTTCCTAGAGCACTTGCTCCCCTGAGGCCACCTGCAGCCTGGAACTCACACCCAAGGCTCAAGCTGCACATGCTCCCAGAGCTTTGGTATGCCTGGCTCCTGGCCGACTGTACTTGGCACGGACTTCAGGGCAAAAGAGATGTGACTGGACAGGAGCACAACCATGTGTAGATAGTACTGAACCCTCGCGCATGCAGCGAGAATACAGCCAAAGGCACACTTTCTCATGACCAGAAGATGCTGTCCAAAAGCTCATACAAAATGGAACTAACAGGTAAGTCTATGTAGATGCAAAACAGTTTTGGAAGCCAGGGCCAGCACCGTGCAAGTAGAGCTACCACTTGCAATGCTAGCATCCCGTGAGCATCAGTTGGAGTCCTGGCTGCTCTACCTCCAATCCAGCTCCCGGCTAACATTCCTGGTAAAGCAGGGAAAGATGGCTTAAGTGCTTGGGCCCCTGTCTTCCTCATGGAAGACCCAGATGGCATTCCAGGCTCCTGGTTCAGCTTGGCCAACAGGAGGGTAAACCAGTGGATCAATGATTTCAATCTCTCTCTCTCGATTTTCCCTTTTTAACTACACCGAGCAGCATCAGCTGGGATGGGGAGACAGCAGAGGAAGCACAATGATTCGTAGTAGTCCTGAAAAGCAGGGTCAATGGGATTTCGTAGGCAGCTGAGCAGATCTAAGACGGAATCACCAAGGTTGCCACCAGGGTTCGTGGAGAACACAGCTACCATCAGAGATGTCAGCTGGGACGGGGAAGCTAGAGGCCATTCAGGAACCTCTCAGGGAACTTTGTGCTGGACACCTCCAGTGTGTGAATATCAAAACAGATGTCAAGTAGGAAACTGGACACAGAGTAGGGTCCTGGGGGGGGGGAGATGAACAGGCTGGAGCAGCCAGACAATCCTCAGCAGAGAAACAGTGACTAAGCCATAGGAAAGGCAACACTGACCACAAGAGCAAGCGCACACACACAGCAGAGGCCAGGGAGTGAGAAGAGGCCCGAGGCATGGAGGAGACAGCAGTCAGCACAGAGGTGCGGAGACAAAGGAGTCCGTGGTGCTGGGAAAACGAGAGCAGTAGAGAGGGGGAGCAGCACCGGGGCTGCCATGGGGGCGCCAGTTCAAGTGCCGGGCCTGGCTCAGCCCCCGCCTTTGTTGCCATCCTGGAAGTGAACCAGTAGATGGAAGTTTTCTCTCTCTCTCTCTCCCTCACCCTCCTTCCTTCTCTCTTTCTCTCTGTAACTCCTAAATCACACTGTACAGAGATGAGGAGAATGGGTCTGGAGTCCAGCTGCCAAGGGTTCAGTTGACCACTTAGCTTCTTGCAGCTGCACCTGCAATATCTATAAAAATGAGGATAACAAGAGCACCTCTGCATGAGGAACCATGAAGACTGCCTCGTAATGGTGTGCATGCGCTCCCTCCTATGCTAAACCCAGCTGCCATGAAACATGCACTATGAACAACCAATTCCTGAGCTATAATTAAGACATATTATTAATAAGCTTTGTATGAAGATGTTGCTATGGTTAGACATGTGAGCTGTACCTTGAACGGGGAGCTCCCCAAAGTTTGGTCTCTTGTCTGACAGGGCTGTCAGGGGTTTGGATGCTGAGATTGGTCCACTGATGGAATGTCTCTGAAATCACAAGATAAGCAATGTCAAGGTTAGGCTCTATGTGGTGCGGTGACTCACAAAGGCAGTGAATGTGAGAGAGTAGACACTTAGTTATAAATGCAGATAATCCCTTCCATACCACCACAGTAACTTTATAACACAAATACACACAATACACACAGAAGTAACCAATGTACTTTTTAAAAGACTCATTACGCTGTAATTATAAATTCGTTTACATGCAGCTGTAATCAAGATCAGAGAGCTCAGGCACCTCTCATAGTATAGTCTAGTAAATCTAGACACGGACACAAACAAGGTATCAGCTATATACGATCCATTTCCATTTCTTCTCTGGCTCTATTTTAATCACTCCCACTTTCTCTATTAACAAATCTTACACCAGAGACCTGACAGCCAATGGTATTCTGAGGGCAATTTCATTCCTATTTTTAAAGAGAATTCTTAACGGGGGCAGGCTTTTATGATGGCATCAAGTCATCAGCTGCAAACCAGGTACCTCCTACTGGAGATTCTTGTTACAAGTCCTGACCACTGTTTCCAGTTTCTTGTTCACACACACGCTAGAAGCAGAAGAGGCTCAAGTCTCTGGGTCCCTAGCACCCATGTGGAAGATGTGGATGGAGTTCCTGGCTCCTGGGTTCAGCACACCTCAGCTCCGGCTGCAGGCAGTTGGGGAATGAACCAACAGATGGGCGATGCCTAACTCTTTCAAATTAAATGTTAAAAAGACGTTTAGAAGGGAATTCTTAAAAAATACTATTCACTAAATTTTTAAAAAATCGGTTTCAAATACATGTACAGATGACTTCCAATTGTAGTTTTATTGATCATTCACGTCCTGCTTTCGAACAAATCTCAAGTCTTTTTCCTGCTCGCAATGCGTTTGTCCCAGTGCCATGGTCCTGACTCAGCAATACTGTCCAGCTGTGTTCCTGGCCACCTCTGCTCCAGACTTAGGCATTCACCAGCAGCCTGAAATGTCCACCACAAGCACCCCAAACCCCTCAGTTCCCCTGCTTCATCTCCTGCCACATCTCCACAAACACGTAGTTTATCTGTGTGTTTTCTCATGCTTTAGACCTTTAGCTTCCCCCAACTCTTACGTAAGATGCACATGACTCCATCCACCCACCACCCACCCATCCATCTAATTACCTATCTTGAAAGGCAGAGCAATCCAAAGATCTTCCACCTGCTGGCTCACTCCCCCAACAGCTAGGCCTGGGTCCCAGAGCCAACAGCCCTGCATCTGGGTTTCCCACGTGGGTATCAAGGACCTAAGTACTTAGGCCATCTTCCTTTGCTTCCTTAGGGTTTGCAGGGAGCTGCATTAGAGGCAGAACATCCATGTCTGAAACTAGTGCTTAGATAAGGGATGCTGGTGGCAGCCTGACCCCCTGTGCTACATCACTACCCTCCCCCAACACCTGTTTTCTTTTTTTTTTTTTTTTTAAGATTTATTTTATTTTTATTGGAAAGGTGGATATAGAGAGGAGAGACAGAGAAGAAGATCCTCCGTCTGATGATTCACTCCCCAAGTGAGCGTAACGGCCGATGCTATGCTGATCCAAAGCCAGGAGCCTCTTCCGGGTCTCCCACGCAGGTGCAGGGTCCCAAAGCTTTGGGTCGTCCTCGACTGCTTTCCCAGGCCACAGGCAGGGAGCTGGATGGGAAGTGGAGCTGCCGGGATTAGAACTGGCGCCCATATGGGATCCCAGGCGTGCAAAGCGAGGACCTTAACCACTGCGCCACCACGCCAGGCCCCCAACACCTGTTTTCTAACCTAGGTACTTTCTAACTACTATTTTCATATGCTTAGTGGAAATGAGTGATCCTCCACATCCTTCCTACTCTTGATACTGCCAGTCTTTAATCCTGGTCACTCCAGGGCTTGCGGGGAAGAATCCCAGGGCAGGTTTAATTTCCATTGTTCTGATGATCAAGGAGGATGGGCATTTTCTCACAGGCAGGAAGCCATTTGTTCACCCTTGCTGGAGACATGTTTTATTTCTCCACCCATCCACCCCTAAATCTTTTTCATTTTCCCAAATGCAAGTCTTTTATCAGATAAACACATTAGGAATTTAGTCTCTCCAGTCTGAAGCTTGGCTTTGCATTTTCTTTGTATCTTCTGAAAACACGCTACACTCTGATGCCAAATTTTTCAATTTGCTTTCCTGGCTCCTGCTTTCTGTGTGCAAATGACTTTCGATTCTAACAGGTGATGATCACCTGTCCCACGTGGGCTGCAGCCCCACCCACTTGTGCAAGTCTCCGGGTCCACACTCACCCAATGGCCAGCTACGAGGAGATGTGTATTTCTGGCTTCAAGAAGTTCAGCTGGGTCATGGAGACATACAAGGACAAGATGGTTTTTGCCTATTTTTCTGGGTGTGAGGACACCAGATGGAAAAGCTAGTGTCCCAGCTGCATGAAGGCTGAACCAGTTGTACAAGAGGCACTGAAGTCTGCTACAAAAGGATGTGTATTCATGCACTGCCAAGCGGGAGACAAACCTTACTGGAAAGATCCCAACAATGAATTCAGAAAAAAAGCTGAAGATAATGGCAGTGCCGACACGCTTTAAACCTGGAACACCTCAGAAGCTGGTAGCATCCGAGTGCCTGGGGATCAGCCTCGTGGAGATGCTGCTGTCTGAAGATTAACACTGGAAGTGGCAACTGTGTCCTGATTTCCTGATTTGCTATGGTATAAGATAAATTCATGCTTCTTGTGCATTTCATTGTTAGTAGCAACAAATATTAAAACCATCAGTGGATGTCTCAATATTAGAGAATGTTATTAAAATATTCATGAACATTCAAAACGGGGGGGGGGATCATAGCGTTGCGCGAGGTTCTCATGCAGACGTTGTGTGGCTTTAGGTTTTTCATGGAAGATGACGCAGTCTCAGCCTCTGGATGTATCACGAGGTAAGGGCTGTAATTAAACTACGTGAACACTGAGCTGCTTCACAATCTTTCGTGGAAGAGACTACGACTCACCCACTAGGCTGCCCTGGTCCCCTTGCGGAAAACCAACTGGCCTGCTTCTGCACTTGCACCTATTCCACGAACCATGCTGAAACGCAGGTTAGAACACACGGTCCTGATCTGATCCTAGTGTAAGTGCAGTAGGAGTTCTCTTGTTTGGTTCTTTTTTTGTCCCCCAGGTTGCTTTGAATATTCAGGGTCTTTTGCATTTCCAATTTAAATTTTACATTAAATTGCTCATCTCTAGCCAAAAAAGCGCTGGGCTCTTAATTGGGATTGTTCAGAACAAAGGATCCCAAAATGCTGCTAATATTGTTGAATCTTCCACACCTTAATATTTTTCCCATTGACTACTTAATTCTTCTAGAGATTGCTAGTTTCCAATCTGCAGGTCTCATGCATATTTCATTCAAGTACTGCTAAGTACATCAACTTCCAGCTGTCCATGCTGGAACACCCAAGTCTATGCGTGGGTTTTGAATAGCAAGTCTGTAACCTGTTAACACTGCGCATCTCCATAAGCTTTTCCGTGGCTTCCTTGGGATTGTCTAAATAAATGACCATGTCATCAGCAAATGATGATGGCTTCACTTCATTTCCCAGTCTGCTTTCACTGCTTTCCTTGGCCTGCTTGTACAAAGGAGCCAAACGCTCGATGAAATCGGTGAGTGCGAGCCTCCTCGCCTTGGTCCCTGTGCTGCTGCAGAGTACTGGGTCTCCCTACCAGCAATGATGTTAACTGGAGACTTTGCACAAACCCCATTTTTTAGAATGAGGGTGTCCCCCTCTTTTTCTAATTTGATTAAGTTTTTACTATGAATGTGTGTGAAATTTCATCAATTTTTTTTTTGTCAACAAAAACCAGAAGTCTTAAAGAACCATTCTGTTGGGCCCAGCATGATAGCCTAGCAGCTAAAGTCATTGCCTTGCACACACCACGATCCCATATGGCAGCCGGTTCTAACCCCAGTGGCCCTGCTTCCCATCCAGCTCCCTGCCTGTGGCCTGGGAAAGCAGTCGAGGACAGCCAAAAGCTTTGGGACCCTGCACCTGCGTGGGAGACCCAGAAGAGGCTCCTGGCTTCTGGCTTTGGACTGGCTCCGCTCCAGCCATTGCAGCCACTTGGGAGTGAACCACTGGATGGAAGATCTTCCTCTCTGTATATCTGACTTCCCAATAAAAATAAATAAATCTTTTTTTTAAAAAAAAAAAGAATCATTTTATTGAAATGTTATCCTTTCCTCCCGGGTACGTGGCATTCGTGGTGATGTCAGTCTCACACTGCCTCCTGCAAATGCCAGTATACCATTCAGGCACTGGTTGGAGATCCGACTCATTCTACTTCCAATCCAACTCCCTGCTACTGTGCTTGGGAGAGCGATGGAAGACAGCCCAAATCCTGTGCTCTCCCACATGGGACATGTGGTAGAAGCTCCTAGGGCCTGGCATAGTAGCCTAGTGGCTGGGGTCCTCGCTTTGCATGCGCCCGGGATCCCATACAGGCACCAGTTCTAACACCTGCTTCCCATCCAGTTTCCTGCTTGTGACCTAGAAAAGTAGTCAAGGATGCCCCAAAGCTTTGGTACCCTGCACCGGCATGGAAGACCTGGAGGAGGCTCTGGGCTCCTGGCTTTGGATCAGAGCAGCTCTGGCCATTGCAGCAGCCTGGGTAGTGAATCATCAGATAGAAGATCTCCTCTCCGTCTCTCCTCTGTATATTTGACTTTGCAATAAAATTTAAAACAACAACAAAAAAAAGAGGCTTCTGGCTTCAGCCTGGCCCAGCCCTTGCTGTTGTGGCCATTTGAGGAATGAATCAGCAGCTGAAGGATCTGTCTCTCTGGCTTGCTTTTTATATAAATAAATCCTTATTAACAAGATTTTCTTAGGGTTTTGGGTAGTGCCTTGCTGTGGAGCATACATGTGTTTGTATGTGTCTGCCTTGCCTTAGTGAATGAGTCTTCTCGGATCTGTGACTGCCCAGCTTGGATAAACCTGAATTATTCTTTCTTTTCCAACACTTTTTTCCTTGGGTTCAAATTTGGGATATATGAGGACATCTGATTTCACCCCAAAAGTCAGAGGCTCAGCCCACCTGCCTCCTCCTCTCACCTCTCTGTGCCTCATCCCAGACGGGGGGTCGCTGATACGACATGCAACGTGCTGGTCTTTCCCTGGGTTCCTTGACTCACCTGCCACTTCTCCCTACCACGGACACAACCCTTGTACACCCTTAGGCCTATAGGGCCTATCAATGAATAATCAGTCCACCGTTTCTATTTTTTCCAGGACAGTATCAAGTGATTAATATTTTTTTTCCTGGTTACAGGTCATATTTTCCTGCCTCATCGTTGTCTGGTGATTATTTTTACATGCCACATTATGTATTTTACAACACTGTGCCTTGTATTTATTGCAGTTCTTTAAAGAGTATCACACTTTGTTCTGGCGGGTAAATAAGCTACTGTATTAGCTATCTATACTACACGACAAATTACCCCGAAACTTTAGAGGTTTAAAACTATAAACATTTATGATCTCACAGTTTCTATGGGTCCGCAAGCTCAGCTCTGGTTCAAGGTCTCTCACAAGGCAGCGACACGCGGCTGTCACTGGGTTGCAGAACTCTACTCTGGAGCAGCTGGTGGGGGCCTCTCCCCAGGTAACTGGGTTTCCACAGAGCGAGCAGAAACAGGAGACACCAAGAGGCACACTGGAGACCAAGTGCATCTTTTTATCTCCTTGTCTTGAAAGGGACACTCCATCACTGCTGCCACACTCTATGAGTCACCACAGACGCTGCTGGCCACAGCTACTTCTGGGCCTCCCTGGGTGGGCTGAAGGTGTTTGTTAGGGTCTCCTAGAGCAGACCTAGAGTTGCCTCTAGCCCAGGCTGTTTGGTTCTGTTGCAGGGATGGCCTTTGAGGGGCCTGTGCTGGCGGGACCATCTGTCTGAAGGCTCCGCAGCTGCTCCTGGAAAGCTGGTCTTGCCCCGCCTGGAGGCGCTGCTCCCTGTGCTTGCACAGACAGCATCCACACAGACTCAGGAGCCTGTCCGTGCACCTGCTCTTCCCAGGGTCTAGCAGTCTTACTGTGATGCCTCACATCCAATTGGTTCACCATTCCCTACTGCGTGGGGGATCATCCTTCCCGCCCTACTGTCTGGAAAATACCTCCAGGAAAAATGCAAGCTGCGGTAATTTCCCCTCTCCACTTCACTCTTTTTCCAGGTACCTGCATCGCACAGCCTTTGCACAAGGTCTGAGAACCGCTGTTCCCTGTGGCTTGTCCGGCCTTCCCGCCATCTGCCATAGCAGTCGCTTGTCTCGCTCCAGGCCTAAGGCAGACTTGCCACCCAGAGTGCTCACAAAGCAACCTTCTCCATCCTGGGCCCCAGTCCCCAGAGAGTCTGTTCACTGGCAGAGGCCAGGTGACTGTTACAAACAATTAGGTCTGAGAAACACTGCATCAATCATGTGCTACGGGGCTACTAACTGTCACTTGCAATTGTCAGCTCTTCTCAAGTTACAGAAATGACATTTTTTCATTTCCCATCTATCAAAATGATGCCCTGTACATTAAATTTCAACTGAGAAACACTACACAGAAAAAAAAAAAACAGCTTAGTTGAGGTTCATTATACCTGGCACCTTTTCTTTGTTTTTAATTATATCTTTACGGGAAAAAAAACTGATTCCGAGAAAACAGAGAAATCATTAAATATCACGGGTAGACAATAAAACACCCTTAGCTCTATATAAACTAAGACAATGTCACAATGTCTTGGACACGTGTGGAAATGCAGAGCTTGATCCCTTGCAGCATTATACATGCAATGGGAGCACACACTTCAACCAAACTTCCCCAGAGAGCTCATAGGTTCACTCACACAACACGCAGACACTACAAACACAGCAGAAAACCTTTAACTCAAGGAGAAACTGTCCAGATTCTATCACTTCTGGGAAAAGGTGTGACCACGGCTACCATCTATCATGGGTCACTCAGTTTTGGGCCACTTTTTCTGAGGCCACTCACACCCATGTGGAACTGCCCCACCCCAGCCTCACTCCACAGAAGCACACAGATAAAGGCACAGAGGGAACTACAGTACCAACCCTCCATCCACAGGGAAGCAGCTACCAAAACCTGAACACAAAGGACAAGCCACGCCTCTCTGAACCAGTGCTTTGCACAGCCCTCAGCCCACCCTGCATTGCAGCTGGCCCTGAAACCTGCTGCTTGGTATCAAAAGAAAGGATGGAAGCCACACTGCCCGGGTTCCAGTCCAGGATCTAACAAAGCTCTGCTGACTCTCATGTGGAAGCCAGGCCCCACCCACCTCTGGCTGAGCACAGCTCCAGGAGTGAGGCCAAGTAAAGTCGGTGAAGAAAACCCAGTAAACCCAGGGCAACATAGAAAACAACATGACTGTTATCCAAGCTCCCTACAGCAGCAGCACACATCTCTATTAGAGGGCCTGGCATGATAGCCTAGTACCTAAATGCTTGCTTTTGCAACCACTGGGATGCCATATGAGCACTAGTTTGTGTCCCCACCTGCTCCACTTCCCATCCAGCTCCCTGCTTGTGGCCTGGGAAAGCAGCAGAGGATGGCCCAAAGCTTTGGGACCCTGCACCCACATGGGAGACCTGGAAGAAGGTAGTGGCTCCTGGCTTCAGATGGGCTCAGCTCCAGCTTCTGCAGTCACTTGGGGGAGTGAACAGCAGATGGAAGATCTTTCTGTCTCTCCTTCTATCTGTATATCTGTCTTTCCAATAAAAATAAAAGAAATCTTAAAGAAGTCTCTACATAGAGGTATGTCCCGGGGGTGGCACAGTGATGCATGGCACTTCAGATCTTAGGGCTGCCGGGCACAGTGGCGCACGCCTGTAGTCCCAGCAACTTGGGAGGCTGAGGCCAGAGGATCGCCTGAGTCCAGGAGTTCTGGGCTGTAGTGCGCTATGCCGATTGGGTGTCCGAGGTCAATATGGTGACCTCCTGAGAGCGGGGGACCATGAGGTTGCCTAAGGAGGGGTGAACCAGCCCAGGCCAGAAACAGAGCAGGTCAAAACTCCCATGCTGATCAGATCTTAGGGCTGTCACTTCTTCCTTTAAGTTTTCTTGGCCTTAGTGAACAGTGGGGTATGAATAGCATTTGACACCCATGAGGGATGCCGTAAGGATTAAATGAGCTGCCACGATGAAGCACTCACAACAGCATGCGGCACACGGCAGATGTTACCTTTACTGTCGGGAAGTTTTTCAGAATACCACAATTTATACTTATCTCGAAGAAATTCATAGCATTTTCAGAAACGAGGCCATCACCTGCCCACCTGACATGCATGTGAACGGCTTGGGGGGGGTGGGGGAGGGCTCTCCTTCCAGAGGCCAGGCCCACCTGACATGCATGTGAACGGCTTCGGGGGAGGCCAGGCCCACCTGACATGCATGTGAACGGCTTCGGGGGGAGGGCTCTCCTAAGACCAGACACTCACCTGCATGGGGGACACAGCTGCTGCAGGAGGGGTTTTCATAGGGCTGGGACTGAGAGGCGTACGAGGAATTGCAGCTGCTGCAGGGTTCGGTACTGAAAATAAACAAACAGATGAAAGCAAATAATAAATAACTAAGTAAAGAATCAACACAGCTTCATGTAGTGGGAGCTTTCTTGCCTGGTGCCCACTTAGAGATTTCCCCAGAATCACCAATGTTCTGCCCTAGCTAGGACCTGACCTACACTGAACACTGAGTCTGACCCCAGCATACAGGCGCTCGCCTCTCACTTGATCTTAGCCAAAAGGCCTAGAAGCAATGGCGCTTGCTTCTCTTCCCCACAGGTGTATGGTTTGCTGCCCCGGAGTAGTCAAGGTTCTAATCCTGGTTACTCCTGTCGTTTCATTTTCTCTCTTGCATTAAGTGTTCTGGGCCAGCGTTGTGTGTTAAGCTGCCACTTGCTGTGATGGGGTAAGGGGTGCGTGCAGCTGGTTGATTAGCTAGCATCCACTTCTGGGTAATTGATGGCACAGTGTGGATGGAAATGGAGGCTCCGCATCCCACTCTTCCAACTTCCTCCCACTCCATTCAAGTTTAACTGATAGTGCAGAATGCCTCCAGAGGCCCCACACCCGGCTCCTCCTGACTCCTCCTGTGCCACTGTACATTAACTGACTACACGAAAACTCTGGGCTCCAGAAGCCCGCTTCCTGCCTCCTGTCACTTAGTTATTTCAAACTAAGTATGTGCAAACTGTGTGTGTCCTGTATGGCTCTCTGACTGGAGGAAGAGAGCTTAAAAACCCATGAAATGAGCTTACACTTGACTTTTGGATATCGATTCATCTCATTTCTTTTATTAGGCAGGAAAAGTTGATAAACAATGTAAAAAAAACTTCTAGAGATGTGGGGTTTCATGTTTTAGACAAATGTATTTCTGGTGTAAAATGTTTATAAGTTCATCTAGGGAGATATATTTACGTATTGGGAATTTAAATAAAGGTGATTTTATTTAAAAAAGACACGCTATCCTACGTACTAATGAGTCTTAACTGTTATAATCCATGCAAGCCCCAGCCTGATGTTTCTGAATCCAAACAGATCCGCCTGCTTTAAAAATTCACCCCCCAGCAACCCAGAAGTACTGTCTGGAGGCCGACCGAAGGGAGAGCACCACAGGCCTGAGGCAGAGTTGAGCATCACCTTGAGATGCACTGTCGAAGGACTTGATGAGGGTTTTCACTGTAGGGGTTGGCTCTGAGGAAGTTGAGGACCTTCTGCTCAGCCCCATCCCTTGCCGCAAAGCTGCCAGATCTCTCTCCACAGCATTCATGTAGTTGTAGACCCGGCCTCGCTCCTCCTCTTGTCTGCAAACGACATTCAAGTCGGGGTGTTTCAACACATGGCTGAGAAAATAAACACTTCCCCTTCCCGAGCGAAAAGCATGAAAACATGCCAGCCTTTCTTTAAAAAAAAAAAAAAAAACCTGGTATCAATGGGAACAGCCAGGTTTGGCCTAGTGGTTGGGACCCCATTTAGGATGCTTGCAGCTCTTCTCTGAGCGCTGAGTTCACGTCCCACCTCCAGAGCCTGATTCCAGCTTCCTGCCAGTGCAGACCCTGGGAGGCAGCGGTGACGGCTCAAGTCATGAGGTCTGTACTGCCCACAGACGAGACCTAGACTTCACTCCTAGCTCCAAGTTTCAGCCAAGGAATCTGAGGGGCGACACTGTGGGTGAAAGTTTTCTCCCTATCTCTTTTTCTCTCTGAAATAAACTATAAATTTAGCAAAAAAAAAAAAAGCCTGTATCAGTTAAGGTCAGCATTCTGTCATAACAAGAAAAGCATCTACATGCAAGTACTGGCATCCCATGTGGGTACAAACTCTCAAGTCCTGGCTGCTCCACTTCTAATCCAGCTCCCTGTTAATGTGCCTGGGAAAAGCAACAGAAGCTAGGTCAAGTCTTTGGGCCCCTGCCACTCACATGGGAGCCGCAGAGAAGCTCCATTCTAATGGCTGTAGACTGGCCAAGCTCCAGCCATTGCAGCCATTTGAGGAGTGTACCAAGGGATGAAAAACCAATCTCTCCCTATCTCTTTCTCTCTCTCTCTCTCTCTCTCTCTCTCTCTCATTCTCTCTGTAAACTCCACCTTCCAAATAAATAAATCTTTAAAAAAACCAGATCAGTTGAGTTGATTACCTAGTCTAACACTTTCACTTCCTTGCTAAGTACTAGGAGATATTAAATTTTTCATTTTAAGTTATCCTAAGTAACTTAAATAACCACCAGGTTCTACTTTGATCTGAGTGAGGTGAGAACATTCAAGCACCACACGAGCCAAGGACCCTGACACACCGAGCGTCTCCTCCTAGGGCCAAGGAGTCTGGGAATTGCAACAGGTCCTGTGTGTGCTGTGCTCACAGACACACATGACACACAAGGACGCAGACCCAAGGTCAGAGGTTCAGAAGGAAGCTGCTACAGCATCCACACAGAATGTCTATGAAGGAAAAAGAACCCAGGCCCAGGCTGGTAATCTGAGTCTGAGAGGCGATCGGTGTGATGCCCCAACTCACCAATCCTGCCTCGTTGCTGGCCCTCTCTAATGCACGGGACAAACAGAAAAGCTCTCACCTAGAATAGGCAATTACTGGCAGAGTTTATAAACACCACACAATTATTAAACGTGTATATATGAGGACAAAAATTAAGCCAGTAGTGAGGAAAATTTGCCACTGAGAGCCATTTGGCGCTTTTGGACCATAAGGTCTCAGGTGGAACTAACTGTCATGATTGGTACTTGGGTTTTTTTTTTGTTGTTTTTGTTGTTTTTTAAGATTTTACTTATTTTATTGGAAAGTAAGATTTATAGAGAGAAAGAGAGAAAGATTTTCTGTCTGCTGGTTCACTCCCCAAGTGGCTGCAAAAGCTGGAGCTGAGCCCATCTGAAGCCAGGACCTTCTTCTGGTATCCCATGCGGGTGCAGGGTTCCAAGACTTTGGGCCGTTCTCGACTGCTTTCCCAGGCCACAAGCGGTGAGCTGGATGGGAAGTGGAGCTGTAAGGATTAGAACCGGTGCCCTTATGGAATCCTAGTGCGTGCAAGGCAAGGACTTTAGCTGCTACGCTATTGCACTGGGAACAAAACATGTATTTCAAACTAAAAATTTTGCAAAAAGAGTAGTAGAGTTTTGTGATATCTCTTAAACTGCCTGTAAGACAGATTCTCATTTTTCCTGAATCCAACCATGATATGAAAACAGCAGGTCTCATGAGGATAATGTAGACAGAAAGGGAAGAATTCTTTTTCTAAGATTTATTTTTTATTTGAAAGGCAGATTTGGAGAGACAGATCTTCCAGCCCCTGATTCAATCTCCAAATGGCTGCAGTGCCAAGAGCTGGCCTGGTCTGAAGCCAGAAGCCAGGAGCTTCATCTGATCTCTCACGTGGTTGCAGGGCCCCAGGGATGTGGGCCAGATTCCACTGCCTTCCCAAGGCCACTAGCAGGGAACTGGGTTGGAAGTGGAGCAGCCAGGACTTGAACTACTGCCCACATGAAATGCCAGCATTGCAAGCAAAGGTTTAATCTACTACACAACACCGCGACCCCAAGGGAAGACTATTTTAATAGCCTTGGCTAACCAAGCCTATTCCACGACAACGTAAGAAAATGTAACAAGGGCCTGGCGGTGTGGCCTAGCGGCTAACGTCCTTGCCTTGAACGCCCCAGGATCCCATATGGGCGCCGGTTCTAAACCCGGCAGCTCCACTTCCCATCCAGCTCCCTGCTTGTGGCCTGGGAAAGCAGTCGAGGACGGCCCAAGGCTTTGGGACCCTGCACCCATGTGGTGGGATACCCGGAAGAAGTTCCTGGATCCTGGCTTCGGATAGGCATAGCATCGACCATTGTGCTCACTTGGGGAGTGAATCATCGGACGGAAGATCTTCCTCTCTGTCTCTCCTCTCTGTGTATCTGACTTTCCAATAAATAAATAAATCTTAAAAAAAAAAAAAAAAAAAAGAAAGAGAATGTAACAAGCAGAAGTTACTGAAAAGTTATAGAATGCAGGGGCCAATGCTGTAGCGTAACACGTGACACCACCACCAGTGACATCACATAAGGGTGCCAGTTCAAATTCCAGCTGCTTCCCATTCAATCCAGCTCCCTGCTACTGCGGCCAAGTCCCTGGACTGCTGCCACCATGCAGACCCAGAGGGAGCTCCTGGCTTTGATCAGCCCAGCTCCGGCCAGAGAGTGAGCCAACGGACGGAAGATCTCTCTCCTTCTCTCCTCACTGACTGCCTTTCAAAATCACCTTTAAGAAAAAAGATCCACTGCTCTACCCTGAACCTTGAATGGCTCTCACCATGGAATGTGCATGGCTCATAAGGAAAATACTGGTTCACTGACTTACACAGACTTTCCAAATGCCTGTCATTATATTACATTTTTAAACTGCATGTGCTAGTCTCCAATGATCTCATCAGACAAGTCTTTCACCATGGCATGCTGCCAGGCCTGCGACCACAGTTACAAGTTTTCCAAACTCCTAATGCCCGCTTTGAAGGCCCTATTCCATCAGTGCACCCCACACGGCCCACAGTGGCCCTGAGTGACAGGCTCTATTACTCTCAAGAAGTGTCCACCAAACACATAATTGGGATGGTCTGTCAGTCACTGGCAAGGGATGATGGTGCTCCATGGAAACAGAAAGCAGCTCAAGGGCTTAAGTTTCACAGAGGGCTTTCCTCCAGCTGGCGCCTTGTGGAAGTCCGGGGTGGATACATGCCTGCCCACCCTGTCATGTGAAGCACTGGAAAGCATATTCCGGACTGAGATTCAGCCAAATTACTCGCTTACTCCTTCCCCAGGGACATCGTGAGGGGAGCCACCTTGTGGCAGTGGAGACCTCTAGTGCCTACAGATACACTCTGGGGCCAAGGCCTTGATTTTGATTCTTCCACTGTTACTTGTTTGCTCATCTCTGTGCAGGCAGCATAGTGACGGGGGTAAACATGTCAGCACTGTGCAAACGGTCTGACTTCATCAAGCCCCTATAGGGGTCCTGAAAACCCCCGGGAGTCTGCAGATCTTAAGGATCAGTGTTCCCCAAAAGGGTATGCTACCTCTTTTGGTCTCAACGACTGCTGAGCTTTTAGAATCCAGTGGAATGTTTCCTTTGAGGCAGGCTTTCCACAGCAGGCCCAGCCTCATGATCCAGACACCCACGTCTTATAACAGGGATGTAAAGAAAAAACAAAATGCCACCATGTACATGCATGTGGTTATAAGATAAAACAAGTGCAAGTTCCTCAAGTGGTGATGAACAAAAACTCCCTTTAAATCCTTTTTTTTTTTGTTTGCTTTTTTTCCCCCCTTTACATTCTCTATTTGGGTTTTCAAAAATACTACTTAACTAAGCCTACTGGCTATTGTCCTAGGCGTCTGGTGGCCATTGTCCTATTAAATGATTGCAATGACACCAGAAAGCAGGTGGTCTTGTCTGCATTTTAATATACAGTGTGAGAAGTTTAGGTAGTTTCCACTACAAGTTCTAAATTCCACAGGGTTAAACCCTGTAACTTGGGACCAGTGTTGTGGCATGGCAAGCGAAGCCAGCCCCTGGGACACCAACACCCCAGGCAGAAAGTCAGTTTAAATTCTGGCTGCTCCACTTGGGGCCGAGACACCTACAAATATCCTACTGGCAAGGCAGCAGGAGACAGCCAATGCACTAGCCAACGTGCTAGGTTCCTGGCTTCAGCCTGGCCCAGCTCGGGCCATTGCAGGTATTTGGAAGAGATAAACCATTGGATGGAAGATCTCTTTCTCTGTCTTGTCCTCTCTTTGCCACCCTGCCTTCCAAATAAATAAATTCAATCCTCAGTCAACGACGACTGCCCGCGTTCCTTCCATCACACCACGTCACACAACCCGGACGCACAGGTGCGTGGTGGGCTTCTCAGAACGTACTTGCGTGACTTTATTTCCTCCAGCTCTTTTGTGAGTTTCTCATTTTTCTCCTGGGCCTCGTGGAGACGGCGCTTCAGGTCGCCAATTTCTTCCTGGGCTTCCGATTTGATGTCGTTCGCAATGACCACGGCGGTCTGGAGGTCGGCCTGAAACTGGCGCCACTCCGCGGATTCCTCCTGCAGCCCAAAGACTCAAATTTTATTTCCAAAACATGGCAGTTTAGAGTCATTTCAAGGCCATTACACTTGCTTGGGACTAGACTGCCACAATGCCCCAACCTCCCAAAAATAATCTGTTTGAATCCCGAAGAAGTGTTATCAGCTATTTCTATCGGGCAATGCAACAATGATCAGTGAACTTGTGATCAAAGAGAGAAAGACTTTTCTAGCTGATCTTGCCTACTGGGACACCCAGCACTCTCAGCACCCAATAAATGTCAATAAGAAATAATGTCAGGCTTCCCTTCCTTGTGCAAGTTTCAAAGCTAAGAAATCTTACAAAAATAAACACCAACTGAGATCTACAGAGCTTTATCTCCGCAAAGCTCAGGAAGGTATATAAATGGTATGTGAACCATACAGTGACAAACTATAAATATCCTGACATCAAAAACTAACAGGGAGGAAAAAAAAAAAATCAAAAGTAAAGGAAAAGGAAGAGGAAGCCAGAAGAAAAACACAAAACTCAATATAGACACACAAAGCTAGACAAAGAATCGGTAAGAACGACACGGTCTGACGCTTCCCACAGCCATGGAGGATGCGGGCGTGGCTGGGTGCAGACGGCGGGGCAGGCCTGGGCCTCCCCGGGCACGGGGGCCACAGCTGGGCTGCGCCCGGGCCCAGCCCCCGCTCACCCCAGCAGCGATTTTCTGGCATCATGGAAGGACCAGAACTGTGAGATTAGCCTCCCCCGTCCAGCAACACCAACCTCTGCAGCACAGGAGTGACTGTTGTCGGCAAGCTCACAGACCCACGGGAAAACAACAGCTTCAGTCTGGGATACTTTACCATCAAATGACAATAATGTCATTTCCAAAATGCAATTCTTGTCTTCTGAATCCATCGTCCCTAACATAACTTACATACTCCTTGACCCAAAGCCCAGCCCCCGAGTCCTGGCTTAAGAGGAGGGCACCTGCTTCTGGTGCCAGGCCCACCAGGGTCAGCGCTGTCCTCACACCCATGGCTTGGGACGAAGCACCACAAGCTGGGGGACAATGCGTCAGAGTTCACAAAGCCGTGCTTTATGGCAACACAGCACGCAGAGAGGCATCCTACCCGAAGTCGCCTGTGCAGGGTCTTGATTTCTCTTTCCATGTCATGCTTTTGGTCCTGGAGCTTTTTAACTGTATCTGCAAAAACAATAAAATATATCTATTGTTAGAGTTGTCTTTAAGAAACAGTCACACAGGGGCTGGTGCTGCAGCATGGCACGAGAATCCCCACCTGCGGTGCCAGCATCCCATAGGGCGGAGTGAACCAGTGGAGAGATCTCTGTCCGTCTCTCCTCGGTTAATTCTGACTTTTGCAGTTTTTTGGTTTTTAATATTTATCCTTATTGGAAAGTCAAGAGACATACAGAGAGAGCGATCCTCCATCTACAGGTTCACACCCCAAACAGCCACAAAGATACAATGCCAGAAGCCAGGCGTTTCCTCCAAGTGTCCCACATGTGGGCAGAGGTCCCAAGCGCTTGACCCATCCTCTGCCGCTTTCCCAGGCCACAAGCAGGGAGCTGGATTGAAAGTGGAGAAGCTAGGACACAAACTGATGCTCACATGGGATGCTGGCATCAAAGACAGAGGCTTAGCCTATTATGCCATGGTGCTGCCCCTAAAAACATTCTTACCAATACAAACACATACACAAATAATACAAAGAGAAGTGGTATCTGTTTATGACATTCCAAAAAAGTTATCCTGCATAAACATTTTGAAACTTCGGTTTTTGGTTATTGGTTTTATTTTTATTTATTGAAACAGACAGTTCTTCCACCTGCTGATTCACATCCCAAATGACTGCAATAGGTGGTGCTGGCCCAGATCAAAGCCAGGAGCCTAGACCTCCATCTGAGTCTCCTTGCGGGTGGCAGAGGCCCAAGTATCAGGCCATCTTCCACTGCCTTCCCATGCACAGTAACAGGGAACTGGACTGGAAGTACAGCGGCTGGGAGTCAAGCCAGCACTCATCCAGGGTACCAATACAGCAGGCAGTGGCTCAATCGGCTACACCCAAACATCAGTCCCAATGCAAATGTTCTGGGGCCTGGGAAAGCAGCAGAACATGATCTGAGCACACGCACTCCTGCCACCCACGAGAGAGACCTGGAAGGGTTCCAGGCTCCTGTGTTAACACAGACACCTGCAGAGTAAACCAGGAACGGAAGACTGACCTCCTTCTCTCTCCGTTACCTGCCTTTCAAACAAGCAAAATAAATGGTCTGAAAAAGAATGTCCAGTTCGTGTTCTACACAATATTACATTTAGCTGCGCAGTAGCCTAGCAGCTAAAGTCCTCGCGCTGGGATCCCTTATGGGCGACGCTTCTAATCCTAGCAGCTCCACTTCCCATCTAGCTCCCTGCCTGTGGTCTGGTAAAGCAGTTGAGGATGCACCAAAGCCTTGGGATTCTGTACCTGCATGGAAAACCTAAAAGAGGCTCCTGGCTCCTGGCTCCAGATTGGCTCGGCTCTGGCCGTTATAGCCTCTTGGGGAGTGAACCATTAGATGGAAGATCTTGCTTTCTGTCTCTCCTCCTCTCTGTATATCTGATTTTCCAATGAAAATAAATAAATCTTTAGAAAAAAAAAACAATACTACTTTCTAAGATTTTGAGAAAATCAGTGACCGGATCACTTCCTTCCTTCTGAAGCAAAAAATTCAATCAAATCTTTTGTTAGAAACACACACACCGTTTGCTCATAACCAATGAAACAAAAATCAGCTGTTACTAAAATACAAGTTTTTAATCTTAGGGTTACTGACCTAAAGCCCAAGTTCCTTTATATGCTGAGTGAAGCAAGTTCCAGAAAAGTGGTGACTTAGTTAAATATCTAATATTCGGGGGAGATGCTGCATAAACAAACCCTGTGGGGACAAGCACTGTGGGATGGCAGGCTAAGCTGCCGCTTAGGATCCCACATCCCCTGTTTCCAGTCCCCATGCTTTGGACTGCTCTTCCTGCTAATGCACTCAATCACAGTGGAAGACAGCCCCCACCCTCGGGTTCCTGCCACCCATCTGGGACAGCCCGACGTGCCTCCTGGCAAAGTCCCAGCTGTCACGGGCGTCTGGAAAGTGATCCAACAGACAAAAAGACCGTTTTCTCTCTATCACCCTGCCTTTCAAATGAGTCTTCATTTCTTCAATAGATCATATGGAAAGCTTTATCAACATAAATCAACAACTTCTCAAATTCTTTTTGTACAACATGAATGTTTTTAGAACAATATTCATTCACTCTGCTAATGTTTAATGAACATCAATAGCATGAAAAGAATCCTCCTGGATAGAGTGCTGATATGAAGATAAGGCACAGCACAGGCCAGTCTCCTTGGAACCAGAAACAGAAAGGCCAGCCACCCAGCATTTGGGAGTTGTGCTTAAAAACACACAGGATGGGGCAGGTGCTGTGAGGCAGCACAGTAAGCCTCTGTTCGCAGGGCCTACAGCTCACATCCCCAGCTACTCTGTGCTTTCAACACTGCTCCCTGTTCATGTGCTTGGGAGGCACCAGGTGACGGCCCAAATGCTGGAGTCCTTGGCACTCAGATGGGAGATCTGGATGGAGTTCCAGGCTCCTGGCTTCAGCACGGCCCAATCCTGAGGTTGCAGGCATTTGGGGAATGAACTAGAGGACAGAAGCAGGTTCCCACTCTTGTTTGCTCTTGCTCTCTCACTCAGTCATTCTGCCTTTCAAATAATTAAACAGGGGCCCAGAGCAGAAGCCTAGCGGCTGAATCCTTGCCTTGCACACACCAAGATCTCAAATGGGCACCAGTTCATGTCCCAGCTGCTTTATTTCCTATCCAGCTCCTTGATTGCAGCCTGGGAAAGCAGTGTAGGATGGCCCAAAGCCTTGGGAATGTGCACCCATGTGGGAGATCTGGAAGAAGCTTCTGGCTCCTGGCTTCGGATCGGCTCAGCTCTGACACTGAGGTCACTTTGGGAGTGAACCAGCAGATGTAAGATCTTTCTATCTCTCCTTCTCTCTGTAAAATCTGACTTTCCAATAAAAACAAATCTTTAAATAAAAATAAATAATCAAATCTTTTAAAATAAATAATAACTGTGTCTTGGAGGGGGAAGGGAGCACGATGCTGGCACCAGCCACTCAGCCTATCACAGCTGGTGACTTAAGGAGCCCGGGAACCAATTACTTTCTGGCAAATCCTCTACTCCGGTTTATGCTGTGCCCTCATTCTAGAAGATTCCCTGCTCTCCTCTGTGTTCCAACTCTGCTTTATACAGCCTCTCTCCAGGCTACTGCCAATAGTATCACATTTCCTCGCTCATCCGTCTCTCCCCCAGGCTGATAACACTTAAAGACCGGAGCCATGCGGTCCCCATCGCTGGCACATACATGGCAGGCCATCAGAACGGAGTAGGTGTCTGAAGACAAATGCAAGCTAATGGCAACAGGAGGGAAGAAGAAAGCAATAATGGAACCACTATCCAGGCTTTTAAAAATGAGTGTTCTATTAACAGGACTTAACCACCGTCAGGAACATCTCAACTGTGCCCATTGACGTTTCCGAGAAAAGAACATTCTCTCGTGCTTCTGGTACTTAGCAGCAGGCACCCGGACAGACTTTACACTGGGAAAGCAAGCCTGCCGACACGTGCCCCTGACGCTTCTCGGGGGCTCGCCTTCCCCATCCCAGTCCCGCCTGCGACCTGCTCGGCTGGAGCCTCTGGATGCCGTCTATGCTTTTCACTTTTCACTGAATGCTTGGATCGTTGTGTTTTTAAAGTTGAGATCTTTGTCCCCAGTGGCAGACATCTGGAACCAGCAAGGGAACACAGCTCCGTGACTTGACACACAGATGAAGTCGGCGTTTCTGGCTGACTTCCTCGGACACAGATAAGGAGTACGGGATGGACACCGGAACATCGCTAATGTGGGAGACGGCAGGGAGCGCAGCTTTAGATTCTCCCCATTTACATGCGGGAAACACTTCTTCACTACGACGGGCAAGCGAGCCAAGCGCGCGGCTTCTCACGACACGCACCGACAGCTGCTCTCCTGTTTCTGACTACCAAGGACTCACTGTGGACAAAACTCAGAGAAGAGTCAGGACCGCAAGGCCCACTGCAGCTCCCTTTTCATCGCTGGCACCTTGTATGACCCGGCCATCTTCTCTCAGGCTCACCGTGAAGTCCCAGCCTCCTGGCCGAGATGCCCTCCCTGACCGCAGCGCCCGGGCGGGCTCACAGTCCTCCTGCACCCAGCCTGCTGGGGGAGGCAGAAGTGACAGTCCCAGCCGTTCTGTCCCTACCACCCTCCGTGGGAGACCACGGTTGTGTTCCCGACTCTTCTTCCCAACTCCCGCCCCAGTCTCAGCAAACACCTGGGAAGCAAACTGGCATATGGGAAGTCACTTGCTCTTCCTCACACTTTTTTTAAAAAAATTCTCAAATTTCATTCATTCCTTTTCTCTTGATCCAGAATTCACATAATCACTATGCTTAAAAGAACATCGCTTCTGAACCTGGCACACTTCACACCTATGGCTGTTCTTTTAAAAAGCAGGGGGCTGGCACCCAGCGAACGTGTCTGGACGGAATAAAAGTGCAGTGAAGGTTCCCCAGGGAGTATGACTTACATTTGACAATCACGTCTGCAGTCCATCCAGCAACAGAAAGGACTGTGTATGACACTGTGCTTCTCCTCGCTGGAAATGGGGGAGAGCAGCAGGTCTCACTGGGGGACCACTCAGCAGGCCAGGCAGGAGGGATGAAGAGCCGCAGGCCCGGCAGCCGGCTTCCTTCCTCCTCCAAGCCTCCGGGGGGCGCACACTGCCACCTGCTGGCTGCATCTCAACAGCAACTTTCATTCCACCGATCGTAACTACAATGCGATCCCTTTAACCAAGATACTTTTAGTCTAAAAGTCAGGCCAACAGCTATATTCACTACTTTTAGACCAGCCTTTTCCAAACACTGTCCCTCCTGTGAAAGGAGTGCATAATCTTTTTTCCACCAAGACTCTGTCAATCAGCCAGGCAGCACACAGACACGTGACTTCTGGGAGTGTGCAGGGTCAGAGTTCACAGTGACCTTCACTGCCAACTCATCCTAGGAACAGTCCCCGCCACACACACACAGTGTTGTCATCATGCTAATCTGGCTTTGTCCAGGGTCACATACTTCCCACTGACCTCCAAGAGAGATTTCCAGAGGAAAGGAAAAGGACAAGCGTGACAGAGGGCCAGGCGCAGTGGCCTAGCAGCGAGATCCCACATGGGCGCCAGTTCTAATCCCAACAGCCCCACTTCCCATCCAGCTCCCTGCTTGTGTGGCCTGGGAAAGCAGTCGAGGACAGCCCAAAGCCTTGGGACCCTGCATCTGTGTGGAAGACCTGGAAAAGGCTCCTGGCTCCTGGCTTCAAAGTGGCTCAGCTCCAGCCGTTGCGGTCACTTGGGAAGTGAATCACTGGAAGGAAGATCTTTTTTTTTTTTAATTTTATATTGGAAAGGTAGATATACAGAAAGAAGGAGATTCAGAAAGAAAGATCTTCCACCTGCTGGTTCATTTCCCAAGTAGCTGCAACAGCCGGAACTGAGCCCATCTGAAGCCAGGGGCCAGGAGTTTCTTTCAGGTCTCCCACCCAGTTGTAAGGTCCCTAGAATTTGGGCATTCTCTGTTGCTATTCCAGGCCACAAGCAGGGAGCTGGATGGGAAGTGGAACAGCCGGAATACGAACTGCATATGGGATCCCAGCAGATGCAAGGAGAGGATTTAGCCACTGGGTTATCAGGCCAGGCCCCTGGCTGCTCCACTTTCAGTCCACCTTCCTGCTTATGTCCTGGGAAAACAGTAGAGGACAAGTATAAATAAAATTTTTTAAATATACAATTTGGGACCGAAATGGTGGCATATTGGGTACAACTGCCACCTGCAGCTTGTTTCAGCCTCCCATAAGGACACTGGTTCGAGTCCCAACTGCTCCACTTCCAAGGCAGCTCCCTCCTAATTGACCTGGGAAAAGCAGCAGAGAATGAGTCCAGGGCTTGGGCCTTGCACCCATGTGGGAGACCCAGAAGAAGCTCCAGGTTCTTGGCTTTGGATTGGCTCAGCTCCAGCCACTGCAGCCACTTGGGTAGAGAACCAGCAGATGGAAGATCTTTCTGTCTGTTCTTCTCTCTGTAAAATCTGACTTTCCAATAAAAATAAATTTTAAAAAAAGAACTTCTCTATCTCTGAATCAAATAAAAAATAATAATTTCAAAAAGAAAAATGTGATTAGAATATTTATACTGTTATATCAGCTTTTTAATCTAGCAGTAGATAACAGACACTAATGTAAAAAATATATTTGACAGCCACACACAGTTATTCAGTGCAGAGATTTCCATAGACATCAGCATTCTTAATGTCTGCCTACCATTTCAGCATCATGGTACTTTTGAAACGCTCATTGGTTTTTAACTATGGAAGTACCACGCATGTGTAGTACACTGCCCAGTGGCTTCCTGTGGGCAGGACAGACCCTCGGCAGCCGCCTCAGCCTGAAGTAGCTGCAGAGTTGAGACACCCTGTGTGCCTGGGCAATCCACCTGCTCTGAGAGGCTGAAAGCAGGCCTTCCTTTGTGCACAGCTGCAAACTGGTAACACTGCTTCTGAGGGGCACATCTGGGGCACTGGATTGTTGAATCCGTGTTGTCCTTTAAAATCATGCTCTAAGAGGGCTGCAGCAACCCAAACACCATCAACTTCTCCTCCAACACTCCATCCCAGCATGCTGTCCCTCTTCCTAAAAAAATCTGTGCATCGAGCCTGGCTCTGTAGCCTAGCGTCTGGGGTCCTTGCCTTGCATGTGCCAGGATCCTATATGGGTGCCATTTCATATCCCAGAGGCCACACTTCCCATCCAGCTTCCCTGCTTGTGGCCTGGGAAGGCAGCTGAGAACACCCAAGACCTTGGGACCCTGCACTACATGGGAGACCCAGAAGAGGCTCCTCACACCTGGCTTCGGATCGGCCCAGCTCTGGCCATTGCACCCGCTTGCAGAGTGGGCCAGCACATGGAAGATCTTCCGCGCTGTCTCTATTCCTTTCTATATCTGACTTTCCAATTAAAAATAAATAAAACAAATCTTTAAATACATATATATGTGTTTGTGTGTATATGTATGTGTGTTTATATATACACACGCATCTGCTCAGTGAAGACTGGCATCCGTGATTCTGTTTTTCAAATAAATAAATATACAAAATAACGTATCAAACAAAAATCTGTGAATTCCAAAGGCAAGAAGGACCTTCTTGGAGCAAGTGAGGAGTGCTTACTGACAGACACTGTTTCTTTGAAAAACGACAAGAATGTTTAAAATGAATTTGTGATGATAGCTGTTAAAACATTCCACAGAAGAAAATCATCTCTCGATTAATGAAACTCCCTGTTGTCAACTTGCCTACACTAAGTGCTGCCTTAACATGCACTTCAAATGCTATTTTTTTTAAAGATTTATTTAGTTTTATTGGAAAGGTGAATATACAGAGAGGAGAGACAGAAGGAAGATCTTCCGTCCGATGATTCACTTCCCAAGTGAGCTCAACGGCCGATGCTATGCCGATCCGAAGCCAGGAGCCTCTTCCAGGTCTCCCACGCGGGTGCAGGGTCCCAAAGCTTTGGGCCGTCCTGGACTGCTTTCCCAGGCCACAGGCAGGGAGCTGGAAGGGAAGCGGGGCTGCCAGGATTAGAACCAGCGCCCATATGGGATCCCGGGTGCAAGGCGAGGACCTTAACCATTGCGCCATCGAGCCAGGCCCTCAAATGCTATTCTTAAGGCAAAAAGCTAACTTCTATCACACTACGAAGATTAACAAAAATAAACTTGAGGACAGCTGGGAAAATCAACATACTACCATTCGATGATAGAAGAAAATTATGACAAATTATACTAGATGTGGTAACAGTCCTGTGGTTACGGTGGAAATTTTTTTAGGAGTTGTACGTTGAAATATCTATGAGGTAAGTGTTATGATGCCTACAACTTACTGCCAACTACTTCAGTAAAACATACATACACATAAGGTAGGCAGAGAGTGAAAAATATTAACCACCAATTATAGACAGTGTGTGCTAGCTAAGCCAGTTCCTAATTACATACTTGCATGTTTAAATTGAAGAGAGAAGCTACATGGCTAAAAAGTTTATTCGGGATCTTCATTTTCCCCTGAAAATATATTAACATTAACCTGGTGACATAAAATTGTGTTGCAGAAATCTTGTCTAACAATCTTCTAGCTATTGCAGCAATTACCACAAGGTGTCACTCCTTCCACATTCTAAACTTTTTGAGAAACTGAAAAATGCAATGAACTTTCAAACTAATCTGAACATTTTCCAGATTTCTTCATTTAACTAGAGGAGCCCTACCAGCTCAAAACGCAAACTAGACCTGAGCAGTATGATAAAAGATTTTCAAACACAAGTTGTGACAGTTCATGTCCAAAAGACAATCCCAAGGGGAGCTCCTTCTGCACAAAGAGGCCTCAGAACTTCCAGAAAGCCCTACAGTCAACGCTCAGAAGCTGAACCAGCTAACGAGAGCTTAGAGTCGCCACGAGACATACTTGAGGGCTGTGGCAGTGACCCACTCTCCGCTGTCCATCATTCACACATCCATGTCACACATGGGTCTGGCCTAACGCTGGACCTGCCAGTCATTTCACTATGAAAAGGAACAATAAACTGGTGGATCCCAGGAGAGCTACAGCCTGAACCACAAGTCCACAAAGCTGCAATTCACAAGTCAAAAACATTACCCTCACTCTCCTTTTCCAGCTCACCCGAGCAATATCAAAACATTGCACCTTCAAACTCTGCTAGAGAAATCCAGATTGGAAGAAAACGTACTTTAATTTTTGAATGTACTATTTGGCAATAATTTCAAATTTAGAAAAACCGTGCAGAATAGGACAGGGAAACACCAGCACCAGATCTGCCTGTTGCCGAGTGTAGCCACCAGCTTCAACAGCTGCTATCTCACCCCATCGAGCTCTCTCTAAATTTTCTGGGAACCATTCGAGGGTATGCATCATGGGTGTTTACTCCTCAGACACTGAACGTCGTGAGTCCCTGAGAACAGGGATATTCTCTTCCATGACTACAGTAGTCAATTTGACGTAAATTCATGACTGACTGCACCTTTACCTCACCCACCATCCACATCTCCAGGCTGTCATCCTGCCCTGACACCAGCCCTCACACAACTAGACTCACCCAGGCGCTTAACTGGATGTGCCTGCATCGGGGACACGGGCGCAGCCACTGTCTTCTTTGACACTGGTATTTCTGAGGACCACGCCACCCGCCCCCTCCGCAGTGGAACATTCCTCACTGGGCTGTCGAAATGTTTCTCTGTGACTAACTGGAACCGTGTGTCCCGGTCCGACTGCAGCCCAGCCAGCGTCGTGTTCCGTTCCTGTGTGGCTCCGTCACTCACCCAGGACAAGTCCTACCCAGTTTTTCCACTGTGTAATTCCCGGCTATTTTTTCTGCACGCCCCGTCTCCTCACTTGCCCGTGATAAATGTCTATGGGAAGACATTTGAAGGTCACGCAACTACCCTGTTCTTCGTGAAAATTTCTACAAAGAAAAGCTTTATATTCTTCTTACAACTTGTTATCTGAGCCATCGCGGCAGTCTCCCAGACTCCGTGTGAGCCGGAAGACGGGGGCAGAAGCAGAGCCAGGCTGAGGCCAGGCACTCTGCGGCGGGACACGGCACCTTACCCACGAGGCCCAAGGTCTGCAAGCCAGCTGTGCTACTGCAGATGTTGGACTGCTGTGCCCACCACAACTGCTAACCTGTACTGCATCCCGGATGGCAAGCCAGGCCCGCACACCAACCAGCACAGGAGAACAGGAGTGAAAAAGTTCCCCCATTGCTTACTCTCTAAATCAGAAATAATAAGGTTGTCATGCAGCTTCACAGCCCGATGTTGTTCCACTTCATCTTCAAGTTCAAAGATGGTCTCCTTCATGTCACTTCTTTCTGTCTCCTTTTCTTCCAGCTCTGATCTCAGCTTTTCCAGTGTCATGTTTAAATCTTCAATTTGTTTCTTAGCTTCTTCTTGGAAGGCTCGATACTCATCTTCTACCTATGGAAAACAAATGGTGCAGATTTAGAAAAGCAGAGTTGTTCTGAAGTAAGTTCCAGAATTGAAAAACACCCTGTTTCAAACAGAACCTAAGGGTGAGTTGCGATGCGTGAACTAAAACAACCTGTGTAGTATCAGTGAAAAAGCATTTTAAAAGCACTCTAAGGACCCAGTGCTGAAGCCTACTGGCTAACGTCCTTGCCTTGTACATGCCAGATAATATATGGATGCCAGTTCTAACCCTGGCAGCTCTGCTTCCCATCCAGCTCCCTGCTTGTGGCCTGGGAAAACAGTTAAGGACGACCCAAAGCCTTGGGACCCTGCACCCGCGTGGGAGACCTGGAAGAAGCTCCTGGCTCCTGGCTTCAGATCGGTGCAGCATCAACTGTTGAGGCCACTTAGGGAGTAAATCAACCAACAGAAGATCTTTCTCTCTCTCTTTTCTCCTCTCTGTATATCTGACTTTCCAATAAAAACAAATAAAATTTTTAAATTAAAAAAAAAAGACTCAGGGACCAGAGTTGTGGCACAGCAAGTAAAGCCGCCACTGTGATGCCACCATCCCACATGGGCTCTGGCTTCAGTTCCAGCTGCTCTACTTCCAATCCAGCTCCCTGCCAATAACATAAAATCTTCTTTAATGTGTTTAAGTATAAACTGGTGCATATACTAATTTCATCAGCAACATATCACTGAACTCACCTAGATGCTATATGAGGACATTTTGGGGGAAATTCTGCCTTCTCCAAAGTTTAGAATGAAGGTATGTATTTGATTAAAGATTCATGTGCTTTTTACAAAGTGGGCGTCCTGTAACAGCTTCAGTGTGGAATTGAAAACAGAAAGCAGGGCCAGGTACAACATCCTAGTGGCTAAATCTTGGCCTTGCATGTGCCAGAATACCTTGTTGGTGCCGGTTCACATCCTGGCTGCTCCACTTCCCTTTCAGCTTCCTGCTTGTGGCCTGGCAAAGCAATGGGACCCTGCTCCACATGGGAGACCCGGAAGAAGCGTCTGGCTCCTGGTTTTGGATTGGTTCAGCTCCAACTTTTGTGGCCACTTAGAGAGTGAACCAGTGGATGGAAGATCTTTCTTTCTGTCTCCCCTATCTCTGCCTTTAAATAAAAAAAAAACGAATAAATAAAAGGAAAATGCTCTGGAGCGATGTCTTTGCTAATGTACAGCTGTTCACATGGACCTCAACTCAGATGCTCACATCTTCTTCTAATAGTATCTCTAAAAAGGAAAAGTAATCACTAAAAAGGAAAAAAAAAGCTAAATAATTAAAGTTTTCCACCAGTGACATGCTAAAAATTCTTACTTTACAAGAGCAGTGCATAAAGATTTTTAAAAATAAACAGAATGGGGCCCGGTGCGGTGGCAAAAGTGGTTAAGGTCCTCGCCCTGCACGCCCAGGATCCCATATGGGCGCCAGTTCTATCCCGGCAGCCCCGCTTCCCATCCAGCTCCCTGCCTGTGGCCTGGGAAAGCACTCGAGGACGACCCAAAGCTTTGGGACCCTGCACCCGCGTGGGAGACCTGGAAGAGGCTCCTGGCTTCAGATTGGCATAGCATCGGCCATTGCGCTCACTTGGGGAGTGAATCATCGGACGGAAGATCTTCCTCTCTGTCTCTCCTCTCTGTATATCCGCCTTTCCAAAAAATAATAATAAAAACAAATCTTTTTAAAAAAATAAATAAATAAAAAATAAACAGAATGGGGCCTGGCACGATGGCGCAGTGGTTAAGGTCCTCGCCTTGCACGCCCGGGATCCCATATGGGCGCCGGTTCTAATCCCAACAGCCCCACTTCCCATCCAGCTCCCTGCCTGTGACCTGGGAAAGCAGTCGAAGACAGCCCAAGGCTTTGGGACCCTGCACCCGTGTGGGAGACCTGGAAGAGGCTCCAGGCTTCGGATTGGTTCAGCTCTGGCCGTTGTGGCCTCCTGGGGAGTGAATCATCGGACAGAAGATCTTCCTCTCTGTCTCTCCTCTCTGTATATCTGCCTTTCCAATAAAAATAAAATAAGTCTTTAAAACAAATACAAAAAATAAACAGAATGTTAGGATTATAACCCATGTAAAAAAAAAAAAAGCCATTTCAAGGGCAGCGCCAGGGGACCCCGAGCATGTGCCATCACTGTCTCGCTGCACACCTGCCAAACAGGGGGGTTGGGGGAACAGCCTGAAGGTCACTGCCAGCAATAAATGGCAGACTTGAAGGAGCAGAAGACTCGGGAGTCAAGAATATTTTAAATTCACAAAACTCTCTGGAAAAGTGCAACCACAGCAGGGTAAGTGGGAGCAGGAACTGCTGTTCCTGCAGACTGGAACACTGATCCCCTGTCTACACCAACGTGCAGAAAAGCTGAGGATGTAAAACTGTACGCTGGCTCCGTGGGCAGGCCTGGAAAGAGGACGCAGTCTCATTCTGGCAGTAGTTTGTAAATCCAGCCCCATCCCCTCACTGGCAGGGAAAGAACGGAAGACAAGACAGTGAAAGTGACATCAGAATCCTCTTCAGTCTATTCCAATAAAGAAAATGATTCCTGGGGCTGATGCTGTGGCCTAAAGGATTAAAACACCACCTGCAAAGGCAGCAGCCCATCAGGCCGCTGGTTCGAGTCCCAGTTACTCCACTTCGGACCCAAGTCTCTGACAACGTATCTGAGGAAGCAGCAGAGGATGGCCCAGGTAGCTGGATTCATGTTTCCTCAGGGGGGTTTAGAAGGAGCTCCTGGCTCCTGGCTTTGCCCTGGCCTAGCCCCAGCTGTTGCAGGCACCTGCGGAATGAACCAGTGGATGGAAGATATTTCTGTCTCCCCCCACCTTCTAGGATTCTGCCTTTCAAATAAACAAACTAAAGACTGGAGGGGGAGGGGAGAGGAAACGCTTCTCAAGCTTTAACAAGTATCAGGGCACATACAAGGTAATGGCACAGGGACCCCGTGGCCCAACTCTGAGCACAGCTGCTGCGGCACACTGGCCCGGACCACTTCCATCTGTGAAACTACCTTGGCGATGGTGTCCTGCAGGCGATTGGCCTCGTTGCGGGTGTGGGCCAGATCTTCCTGCAGGCTGCTCGCCAGAGTCTCTGCTTTTTCCTTGTCCAGCCTCACGCTCTCCAGCAGATCCTGAATGTCAGTCTTGTCTCCGGAGTTATGGATGGAATACAGCTCCGCCACCTTCTGCTTTTCGTTCTCCAGCTGGGCCTTCAGGCGGTTCACCTCAATCTGGTCGCTGGCCACCGTGGCTTTGTACTCCTCCAGGGTGGCTGCCAGGGCCGCCTTGCCCTTCTGCTCGGACTCGATGATGCGCTCCATGTGGTGGCTGCGCTCCTTGAGCGCACCTATCATCTCCTGGGCCTCCTTGTTGTCCTGCTCCGCCATTTTCAAGGTGTTGCTTAAATGCTGCTGGACGCCAAGCAGCTGCTCCCGCTCGAAGCGGGCATTCTCTGCCAGGTCCATGTAGCGTTGCTCAAGCTCCATGTAGCGCCCGCTTTTCACGTCCTCGTCTATGACGTAGGAGATGTGATGCTCATCGAGAAGGGAGCGGAAGTACTCGATCTGGCGGCCAAAGTGCTCCAGCTTGTCGCTTTGCTGGCACAGGGACTCCATCAGGATGACCTTCTCTTCCCCGAGCCTCTCGTTCTCGCTGTTCAGCTCCTGGGTGATCTGCTGCAGGTCAGCCAGCTCCTGCAGCGTGGCCTGCAGCTCCTCACTCGTGCTGTGCTGGTTCTCCTCCATCTGGTGGATGCGCTCCGTCAAGCAGGCCACGGACACCTCGCTGGCATTGCCGCTGCTCCCCTTGCGAGAGCGCTCCATGCTGGGGAGGCCCTCCGACTCCGAGGACGACGGGGCATCTAGTGCGTCATCACTCGACGTGAGCGGCTGGTAGACCTCGCTGCACTCGCTGTCCAGGTTGTCCAGGGAGTTGCTGTGCTGGTGGTCCATGAGCGTGTTTTCATCCTGACTCAGAAGGTCCTCCACTGATCCGGGGGCAGAGCCTTCCACTGAGGAGGTCAAGGTCCCCCCGCCATCACTCTGGCTGCCCGCAGCAATCTCGGGGCTCAGGGACTGGTAACTGAACAACTTCTCTGAATGGTCCATGCGCTGCTCAAGGGAAAAGCCCAACGCGTTCAGCCTGTCCTTCAGCATTCGGTTTTCATTTTTCAGCTGGTTGAGCTCCTCACGAATGGCAGCGTTTTGTTCCTGCAACTGCAGCAAGGTGGACTCCACATCAGTGGATGGGTGAGTGACGACGGTCTCCTTCTCTGTTGATTTTTCATCACCCTCGCCATGGTCGTCCTGGATACCCAGCTGTGCGCGCATGTCGCGGAGTTCATTTCTCAGATGCAGAATCTCCACATCTTTGGTCTTGGCCAACGTGAGGAGATCCTTGACTTTGGCTTCCAGGGCGGCTTTGTCGCTGATCTGATTGTCCGACTTGGACTTGCTCATGCGCACGTCGCATTCCGCAGTGGTGCGGCTGCGGGAGCGTTTGCCCAGCACCGCCTCGGGAGCCCCCTGACCTGCCGACGGCAGCTTCTTGCTCTGGCTGAGGCGGGTGCGTTCCCGTAACCTCTCTCTGGCAGAACCGGATTCCTTAGTTCCTGTCGAAGTGCTCCGCTTGGTTGAAGAACTCGTGCCTATGTATATAAAGGGAAGAAATTAATGGAGGAATGTCAGCAAGAGAAAGACCTCCAGTTCATGCCCCACGTCTCAGGAGGTGAAATCTAGGGAATAAATTTCACAGGACTTCATGGGAATCCTGCCTGAAGGACCTATTTTCTTTAAATCTCTTGTTCATCAGAAGCAGATCATTCATTTTCTTAATTACCAATAAAAAAGAAATATACCCAAATATAGACCTGAAGACAGTACAGCATTATGGAATATGGATTACATCTCAATAGAGCTGCTCTACAATAAAAAGATATTCACATTAACTTGAGTCCAAAAGCAGGGTGCTAGGCCAATTAGCCAGGGTAGGCTGGACAAAAACGAGGTGAGGACTGGCCAGCCAGGAAACTGACTGCAGAGACAAATGGCAAAGGGGTCCAAAGCTGACTGAGAAGGGAAAAGTGGCTTCAGAACAAACCAAAAATCTAAGGGGCCCTCAAGAAACACAAGAATCTGTGACCCTGGAAAAGGCCTGAGAGTTTCCATGCATGCCACAAAGACAGCTGCCCCAACAGGAACTGCAAACCTAGCTAACAATCCCCAGCATTCACTGCACGCACTCACACTGGCCCTCTCACATGCTAACAAGGAAAAGCCTCACTGAACTCCCAACGACCATGGTATCAGCATCCCACTGGCCAAAGAGGGCCAGACAGCTCACCAACATGCCACAAGTCATAAGTAGACCAAACAAGACTGAAACCCAGGGCCCGGCGTGATAGCATAATGGTTAAGGTCCTCGCTTTGAATGCACCCCAGGATCCCATATGGTCACCAGTTCTAGTCCCAGCAGCTCCACTTCCCATCCAGCTCCCTGCTTGTGACCTGGGAAAGCAGTCAAGGACGGCCCAAAGCCTTGGAACCCTGCACCTGCGTGGGAGACCCAGAAAGAAGTTTCTGGCTCCTGCCTTCAGATCAGCGCAGCGCCGGACATTGCAGCCACTTGGGGAGTGAATCATCAGATGGAGGATCTTCCTCTCTGTCTCTCCTCCTCTCTGTCCATCTGTCTTTCCAATAAAAATAAATAAATCTTAAAAAAAAAAAAGACTGAAACCCATATAGTCCAGTTCAGGAATCTGTACCTTACCCATCTGACACCATTTCTCTGAATGTCAAAAAACAGTGACACATAATGCTAACGCATGAACCGTGCCTGCATGACCCACAGTCTTGCTTAAATGCTTAAATCTTGGAGCCAATGTTGTGGAGCAGCAAATTAAGCCACCACCCTACAACACCAACAACCCATATGAGCTCCAGTTCAAATCTGGCAGCTCTGCTTCTCACCCAGCTCTCTGGTAGTGTGCCTTGCAAGGCAACAGAGACAGTGTGAGGAACCGAATCCCTGCCACCCACACTGGACACCCCGACAGAGTACACATTCTGACCCAGCCTTGGCCACTGTGGCCATTTAGGGAGTGAACCTACACCTGGAGAATCTCTCTCGTTGTTTTGCAAATAAATACATCTTTAAAAAAAGGGTGGGAGCAAGGTTGACATTGTGGATTAGTGTTTTAAGCCAGTACCTACAATGTCAACATCCCATATGAGCACCAGTTCAAGTCCTAACTGCTCCATTTCTAATCCAGCTCCCTGCTAATGAGCCTGGGAAAGCAGCAAAAAATGGCCCAAAAGTGTTAGGACCCCTGAAACCACACAGGAAACCTGTCGGCGTTCCTGGCTTGCTTCTGGCTCTACCTGGCCCAGCAATGGGCTGCTGCAGTCATCTGGGGAGCAAACCAGAGGATGGAAGATCTCTCTATGTATCCCCCTGTCTATGTGTATCTGTTCAAACAAATAAATATAAAGAATGGAGAAGGGGAAAGAAATTGGTAACAGAAGTCAGACAGAAGCTATAGGATTAGGGGAAACAAACAAACAAAAAAAAAATGGAGGTCAGAAGAGGAAAAGATGGTACAACTTCCCTTCTCCCAACTTTAAACCCTTTCCCATCTCTACCATCATCCACAACTGAACGAAAAGCCAGTCCGTGAGTCTTGTGAATCTCTCAACAGCGAAAGGATAGGAGAGACAATGAGGGAAAAAATTAACAATGCTCCAGCTGAGCCAAGAGGTTTAAAAAAAAAAAAAAAGCAAAGGGAGAAACACACACACACACACGCCAACACTGTGGTACAGAGGGCCAGGTTACCACAGGCCACACCAGCATCTCGTGAGTCCGTTCCAGTCCTGCTCCACTGTTATTCGAGCTCGCTGCTAACGCACGTGGGAAAGCAACGGGAGCTGAACAAGTGCTCGGGCTCCCGCCCCACACAGGACACAGTGCAGCCCACGGCAGTCTCCTGAATTCTTAGCTCATGTGCTCTGGCTTTCCTCCTCTCCCTCAGGCTGCTGGATTTCATCACACCAACACACTGCCTGGTATCTCAGATTATTCTATTTCTTCATCACAATAATACACCCCCCTAAGGGGAAGTTAAAAAATTACTTTATCCATTTGAAAGTCAGAGTTATAAAATGAGGGAGAAGGAGCTAGAATTGTAGTGTAATGGATTAAGGAGCATCCCGCACCTCCGGCATCCCATGTTGGTGTCAGCTGAAGTCCCGGCTGCTCCACTTCTGACCCAGCTCCCTCCGAATGTCCCTGTGAAAGCAATGTGAGATGGCCCAAGTTCTCAGACCTCAGTACCCACACGGGAGACCCAGAGGCTCCTGGCTCCGGTCTGACTGAGCTCCGGCTCTTGAGGCCATTTGGGGAGTGAACCAGGATGGAAGATCTATCTCTGTAACTCTGCCTTTCAAACAAATAAATCTTTTTAAGAGATAAAGATAAGTGACTGAGACAGAGTGGGCTGTGGGGGACTGGACTGGAAGTGGAGCAGCCAGATCTCAACTCTGCGGTCCAACACAGACAATGTGATGCCAGCATCACGGACGACGCGATGCCATTGCACCACAACACCAGCACTCTCGCACTACAGCTTAAGGACCTGGTAAAAAATGGGACTCAAGTAACCATTTACAGAGCAGATGAACACATGGCCTTTGGCAAGACACTTGAGGTTCCTAAATGCCGCCTTCTCATCTCTACGGTGATAACAGCAGTCTTTACCTCACGGAGCAGGAGTGAGGATAAAGAGATGATGCCAGCAAAAAGCAAGGCTTCAATTTAGACTCTGGCTAATCACACACCACCCCTTCTTTTCCTCTATAACTCTGCCTTAAATAAGTAAAACACAAAAGTGGTGAAAATAAATAAGTAAATCTACAGATAAATCAATACACAAAAACTGGGCATACAAAGAAATGTATGAAATTGTTTCCAAAGCTGCAAACTAGGAAACGGAAAGCTTAGTAAGAGATATAGTGGTGGGTGGGTGACTTAAAACAAAACAAAACAAGACAATTCAGTGGTGATGCAAGGGAACCTCAGAGCGTTCGACGTAAGGTGGGAATTTAGGGGACAGATCAGGACGCCCATCACTCGCACCAGAGTGTCTAAGTTCCCCATGGGGCTAAATTCTGGAATATAGACAGTGAGGAGGGCTCAGTGATATGGGACACTTGGGCTGAATCCCCAACTCCCAGCCTCCATCCCAACCCAGATCAGCCAAGCCAGGGCCGGAACTCAAAGACTGAACCAGCAGACTGTTCAATCTGTCTCTCTCTCCCTCCCTTTTCCTCTCTTTCTCTCTCTCCCCCCTCCCTCCCAAATAAAACTTAAACAAACAAACAAAAAGCACAGTTCCCAGGAACCTTCTAAAACCTCCTCCTACATCAACTTCAATAAACACAGATCCAAACAAAACCAGTAAAACCTGCATTATTAGACTGGCTGAAAATAGATATTTATTGAATAATTAGTATTTAAACACTACTAATCATTATAAGAAATGGCAATGGTATTTTAATTATGTGGGGTTTTTTTTTTTAATCCTTTGATTTCTTTCAAAGCCGGAATTGCAGAAAGAAACAGGTGTCTTTCACTGGCTGGCTCTTGGCCAGGAGCCAGCAGCTTTTCCCAGGTCTCCCTCATGGGTTCGGGTGCCTAAGCTCTCCGGTGACCCTTCACTGCACTCCTAGATGCACTAGCAGGGAGCTGGCTCAGAAGTGGGCAAGCCAGAACCCAAACCAGCAGCCATATGGGATGCCGGCAGCACAGGCGATGAATTAACCCAATATACCTCAACACTCGCCCTGTAATTATACTTTTAAAAGATCCCTTATCTTAGGCAGTGCTGTAGCACAGTGAGTTAAGACTCTACTTGGGATGTCCACATCCTATTAGGTCTCTGCCACCCCCACAGAAGACCCAGATGGAATGTCAGATTTCGGTTTTAGCCTGGCCCAGCCCTGGCTGTCGCACCCATTCGGGGAATGAACCATTAGATGGAAGAACTCGTGCTTTCTTTCTCTCCTCTCTGTTACTCTACCTTTCAAACAAACAGATATTTTAATAAAAGAACACTTACCTTTCAAAAACAATAAAAAACTTTAATGGAAAAAAATACAGAATTATAGAATTCTGGAATTTGATTCAAAGTAACTATAGGAAAGGTGGGCATTAAAGATGTGAGACCTTGGAACAATTATGATAGTCTAGTGACTTGCATCCCCTGAGATTCCATATGAGTGGGATCCCAGTTCATGTCCTGCTGCTCCACTTCCCATCCAGCTCCCTGCTTGTGGCCTGGGAAAGCAGTCGAGGATGTTCCAAAGCCTTGGGACCCCACACCTGCAGGAAGAAACTCCTGGCTCCTGGCTTCAGATCACCTCAGCTCCAGCCATTGCAATCAATCATCTGGGAAGTGAATCAGAGGATGGAAGATCTTTCTCTTTGTCTCTCCTATCTGTGTATTTGCCTTTCCGATAAAAATAAATCTTAAAAAGAAAAAAGATGTGGGCCCTGGGCCCGCACCATGGAACAGCACCCCAAAACCAACACACTCCACCCAAATGAAAAGTGGTGATGTCTGACCGTACCTGAGCTGCTCTTGGACTTGGTCTCCACGGTGGTCATGGCCGGGACGGACACTGGGGCTGCTGCAGAGGGACAGGTGCTCTTTTTTCCTTTGACACCATTAGTCACAGTTATCCCACCAGTCATCCCAGCTAAAAGGTCATCATTGCTCTTGGTCTAGGAGCCACAGGAAAAAAAGGGAGAGAGGAAGAAAGACCAAAAATTAAACAATATCCTGAGACTAAACAAAGTTGTTGAAATCTAAAATTCTGCAAAGAGTTTCTGAAGGCAGGCAATACGTCCCAGGATGTGACAAAAACCATCTATGTACAGGTTTATAAAGATGCACACACTTCTTTTGAAAATACTTAATCTCCATGTAGTCAGACTAGGGGCACCTGTCGCTGTGCCACTCCCACCGCAGGCACTGAGGGACAGGAAAAGGCATCATCCTTGCCCCAGGACGTGATTCACACACGGGGACTCGCTGGGTGGGACTACACAGGCCGACTACACAGAAGGCCCCAGAAAGCACCATCCTGCTCTAGAGAAATTTTATTGACAGTAAAACATTCTTCATGACACTACAGTGAACCAATGATGAACCCAATATCTAAGTTTGTTATTTTATTTTTAAGGACTGGTGACATAGTAATTAAAAAAAAAAAACCTAGAGACATAATACTAAAGTTAATAGTCTATCTAAATGATCATGCTTCTTGGAAAAGACCCTGCAATATTCATAACTTGCAAAGATGGTTTGAAATATGAGTTCTCAAAAAAGAAAAAAAAATACAGATAAAGCGATTGGCTACAAAATTACTTAAGCAAAATGTTATTTTAATTTTTCCTAGAAATAAAGGAAAACACAGAGGAGTTAAGGATTTGTGAAATTAACTCAAAAGGTTTCCTCATTCAAGGTGAAGGTACAAATTAAGCCACTGATTGAAATACTGCCTTCCAGGCCGAGCGCAGAAACCTAGTAGCTAAACTCCTTGCCTTGCACGCACCGGGATCCCATATGGCCACTGGTTCATGGCCTGGCTGCTCCACTTCCCATCCAGCTCCCTGCTTGTGGCCTGGGAAAGCAGTGGAAGATGGCCCAAAGCCTAGGGACCCTGGACCAACATGGGAGACGTTGAGGATGCTTCAGGCTCCTGGCTTCGGACTGGCAGAGCTCTGATTGTTCTGGCCACTGTGGGAGTGAACCAGCAGATGGAAGACCTTTTTCTCTCTGTCTCTCCTCTCAGTAAATCTGACTTTCCAATAAAAATAAATAAATCTAAAAAAAAAAAAATTCTGCCTTCTGTCTACAGACCTATTCTCACATCTTTAAGCACCTTAATCATTAGAAATTCATTGCTACAAATTGGAATGATTCAGAATTAATTTGTAAAATGTCTTCCGGTTCTGAACTTCATCACCTCCACACCAGACAGGTGTCTGTTTCTGGCATTTAACTGTCAAAGTGCTACTACGCACCACAGCGTCATCAGGCAGGTGTGACCACACAGAGAGTAGTCTGAGGAGCCTCCAGAGGCTCACACACTAACAGCTCAAATCCTGAAACTTTTTTAAAGATTTATTTATTTTTATTGGAAAATCAGATATACAGAGAGGAGGACAGACAGAAAGCAAGATCTTCCATCCAATGATTCACTCCCCAACCAGCCGCAATGACTGGAGCTGAGCCAATCCAAAGCCTGGAGTCCAGGGCCTTTTCCAGGTCTCCCACACAGGTGCAGGGTCCCAAAGCTTTGGGCCGTCCTCGACTGCTTTCCCAGGCCACAGGCAGGGAGCTGGATGGGAAGCGGGGCTGCTGGAATATGAACCAGCGCCCATATGGGATCCTGGGATGTGTAAAGCAAGGACTTTAGCCACTAAGCTACCATGCCAGGCCCAGACTCCAGAATCTTATGTCAATGGGTTAAGGAGGGACACTAACCCAACTATGTATGGTATGTGAAGGTGGATCCCTGGAAAGCTGACTGGTTACAGAGTCAGCTGTTAGGGTGGGAACCCTGTGACCAAACCAGGTGGCTTCCCAAAACACACACTCCCTGTCTCCCTCTGCTTCCTCATTCTGCTGGCCCCTCCTTGCATCCAAAGCCAAACCAGTGGGGCTCACCAGACTCTGGACCGTGATCATCCAAAACCCATGAGCTAAAATGAACCTGCTGAGTATACTCTCTGGAACTTGCAGCAGTGAGGAATAGCAGACCAAAAAGATGTTAGCTTGTTTAAGAGAAGGGGAAAAAACTTCATCAATGCTCTCAAAGAATGAAATCAGATGAATGGGAGTTGTCACATTATGATAAATTTAAATTATATCAACAGGCAGGGAGACAATACATTAATCATGAAGGGCTGTTCATATTTTCTAAGACTTGCTCCTAGGGCCCGGCACCGTGACCTAGCAGCTAAAGTCCTCGCCTTGAACACGCTGGGATCCCATATGGGTGCCAGTTCTAACCCCAGCAGCTCCACTTCCCACAGGATCCCATATGGCCACTGGTTCATAGCCTGGCTGCTCCACTTCCCATCCAGCTCCCTGCTTGTGGCCTGAGACGACAGTCCCAAAGCTTTGGGACTTGCACCCATGTGGGAGACCCGGAAGAGGTTCCTGGTTCCCAGCTTCAGATCGGCGCAGCACCGGCCATTGTAGTCACTTGGGGAGTGAATCATTAGACAGAAGATCTTCCTCTCTGTCTCTCCTCCTCTCTGTATATATGACTTTGTAATGAAAATAAATAAAAATAAATCTTATTAAAAAAATCAAAAGCAACCATTTTTTAAAAAAAAAGACTTGCTTCTACTGACAAACACTAGCCATCAACTATGTTAAAAAATGGCAAATTCAAAGTAATCCCTGGGGCCAGTGTCATGGTATACTGAGTTGAACTGCTACCTGTGAAGCCAGCATCCCGTGGGCACTGGCTGGGAGGCTGGCAGCTCCATTTCCAATCCAGCTCCCTGTTAATGTGCCTGGGAAAGCAGTAGGGAGTGGCCCCAAGGACTTGATCCCTGTCACACACATGGGAGACCTGGCTACAATTCCAGGCTCCTGGCTTCATCCTGGGTCATCCTGGGAATCACTGTGAATGAAAGATGGCTAAAACTCTCCTGTCTCTACGTAACTCTACCTTTTAACTAACTAAATTAAAAAAAGAAAAACTGTGAGGAGTGGGGGGGCGGCTGGGTGTTTAATGGCTCAGGTGCCTGCAGCGAACACTGGAATGCAGTCTCACATTTGATGGCACGTTCTCACTCACGCAGCTCCTGCACTGGGTTCCTGCCGGCCATGTGGGAGACGGACCCAAGTTCCCAGTTCTCCATGCTGGCCCAGCCCAGCCTCAGATGCTGTGGGTATCTTGGAAATGAACCAGTGGATGAAAACTAACTCTCTTTCTGTCTCTCAGAAAACACAGAAAAGCTGAAGGGGAAAAGGCCCAAAAGAAAACTAGCAAAATGACAATCAATGTATACACGCACACACACACAGCTGGTTCACAACATACACATTAAGGTATCACCTGTCACCTCTCCCACGGGCGAAAGCAGAGAAGTCTGACAACACATTCTTCTGCGAAGGCTGTGGGAGACAGGCACCTCCTCAACAGCTCGTGGGAAGGCAGGCCGAGACACGCCTGATGAAAGTGGAAGAGCCGACAAAGCTCACACACTGACCTTTCCCCAGCAATCCTACCTCTAGGAATTCAACTCACCTCATACCTCTAAGAATACAAAATACTTATAATACTTATACATAAGCTTGTTCACGGAAACAGCTCTTCATGCAAAATACTGCTACACTCAGATACCAATCGTGGAAAAGCACAAACGGTACATTTTAATACATGACGTATTTAACTACCAAAAAAATGGTCATGATTGCCAATGTGGTGTAATGGGTTAGGCCATGGCCTACAATGCAGGCATCCCGTATGGACACAGCTGCTCCACTTTCAATTCGGTTCCTTACTAATATATTTGAGAAAGCAGCAGAAGATGGCCCAAGTCCTTGGGCCCCTGCCACTCGTGGAAGACTGAGATAAAGCTACAAGATCCTAGCTCCACCCTGGCCTAGTCAGGGCCCACACAGACATTTAGGGAGTTAACAATTTTTCAAGTTTACACTTTTTAAGGTATAAACAGATACTAAACTTCAGTTGATAGATTTAGTTCCTGCAGTGATATGAATGAGCAAGTCTGAAACTATTTTCCATATATTCTAGGGTTGAGAATCTAATTACAGTAGTCCCCGATTACCCGCAGGATATAAAGTTCCATGATTATCACGGAATGCCTGAAGCCATACATAGCAATAAACTATATATTTGCATATAATCTTTTTACATACACATACCTTGATAGAATTTATAAGATAAACACTGGAAAACATTAAGAGCAACAACTAATAAAACAGAGCAATTAACACAATATACCATAATAAAGTTACATGAATGAGGTCTCTGCCACTCGGAGTGGGTTATTTGAGGGGCCAGCGTTCCGGCACAGCAGGATATGGGCAATGGTTCAAGTGCCAGCCCCCTGCTGACGTACCTGGGAAAGCAGGAGACTATGGTCCAAAGCAGCCATGCAGTGGACCCAGGGGAAGCTCCAGGCTCCTGGCTTCAAACTGAACCAGCTCCAGCCATTTGGGGAGCGAACCAGCAAATGCAAGACCTTTTTCCCTGTGTCTTTCCCTCTCCCCCTTTCCGTAACTCTGCTTTTCAAATACTTCTTTCAAAACAAGAAGTTTGGATGTGAGGGCGATCTGGCTGCGACATCTGTCACCCCATTGATCGCCAGGGTTGATTCGGCTGATCTGGCTGGCTAGGCGGGGGTCCCCTTCCTCCCTCACCGCTCCATGTGCGTCCCTCCCGAAGCAGCGTGCACGGTCGAAGAGGACGACCATCCCCGCTAGAGGAGGACCGGTCATCGGTCAAGGGTACATGAGTAGCTGCGCTCCCCTGCTAGAATCTCCAGACAAGCTCTCAAAAACAAGAAGTTTAAGACAATAGTTACTTCTGGGGAGAAGAGAATGGACAGTGAATAAGCATGGGCCAAAGGAAGACTTCTGAGAGAAGGCCGTTCTGCTTCCTGAGCTAGGCAGTGGGTACAGGCTATGTTCACTGTGTGACAATTCATTAAGCACATCTGCATTCTATGAACCGCTCCAGATGTGTTACACTTCAACAAAAATATAAAAACAAAATTAAGAAATGGACCTACATTGTAGCACAGTGAGATGAAGCCACCACTTGGGATACCCCACCCATACTGGAGTGCTAACTGATGTCCTGGCTGTTTTGCTAATGCCCTCGCACCTGGGCACCTGCCACCCAGGGCAGAGACAAATGGAGTCTCTCACTCCAGCTGATGCAGCCCCTGGGGAGTAACCCAGGAGATGAGAGTCACCTCAACACCTTGTCATTCTGCCTTTCAAATCAATTTTGAAACACTCTGTACTTTCCAACTTGTGTTTTACACTAAACTACTTACAGAATCCCTGGGGACTCTGTACACTTTTTTTATTCTTTTTATTTTTTTTTTTTAAGATTTTATTCTTATTGGAAAGTTGGACATACAGAGAGGAGAGACAGGAAAATCTTCCACCTGTGGCTTCACTTCCCAAGCAGCTATAATGGCTGGAGTTGAGCCAATCCTAAGCCAGGAGCTAGGAGCCTCTTCCAGGTCTCCCAAGCGGGTGCAGGGACCCAAGGCTTTGGGCCATCTTCAACTGCTTACCCAGGCCAGAAACAGGGGGCTGGATGGGAAGCAGGGATTAGAACTGGCACCCATATGAGATCCTAAGCGTGCAAGGCAAGGACTTTAGCCACGAGGCTACCACACTGGGCCCTCTTCATTTTTGCTACAAAATGTTATAAACACATGGGCATTCCCATACAAACACCTGCTTCCCAACAAACAGTCCAAAAACATGCAGGAATGAATTTTTAGCTTACTTAACTAATGTGAAATTCAGATAATTTGGTTAAAAAAAAAAAAACATCTCCAGATACAACTAATACTGCAACCAGGTAGACATGATTCTCAAAGTCAAGTTCAAGTTACGTAAGCGTGCATCTTCATCTCAAATGTTATGACTGGTCTTCAAATTTTGGCTTTTCAGTTTCAGAGCTGGTCTGCTTGTACGACAGATTATACTCAGCAGGGACATGGTCACAAATAACTGTTAAGAGCTGCCAATTATTTAATATTGCAACTGAAGGTTATTAACTCTCAACTGTTTTGGGGGGGGTCATTCTTGGTGTAATGAAAAAGCATGCCATGGGCCCGGCGCGGTGGCGCAAGTGGTTAAAGGTCCTCGCCTTGCACGCCCGGGATCCCATATGGGCACCGGTTCTGATCCCGGCAGCCCCGCTTCCCTTCCAGCTCCCTGCCTGTGGCCTGGGAAGGCAGTCGAGGACAGCCCAAGGCTTTGGGACCCTGCACCCGCGTGGGAGACCTGGAAGAGGCTCCTGGCTTCGGATCGGCATAGTATCGGCCCGTTGCGCTCACTTGGGGAGTGAATCATCGGACGGAAGATCTTCCTCTCTGTCTCTCCTCTCTGTATATCCGCCTTTCCAATGAAAAAATAATAAAAATAAATCTTTAAAAAAAAAAAAAAAAAAAAAAAAAGAAAAAGCATGCCACTTTCACAAGTGTGAGCACGACCACCAGAACGGCACATGCGTTCTGCGAAGCGCAGGTGAGGACCACCTCCCCACAGAAGGCCATCCCCACACAGGCCCAGAGCCATGGCTTCTGACGACAGTGGGGATCCTTGCCCTCTGCTCCCTGTGCTGCAGTGCGTCTGTGCTTTCACAGGGCTCCGGGCAGCAGAGCGCTGACCTGGAGCAGAGCGGTCCTTCTCTGCACCTCGGCTAGAGCTAGCCTGCAACAGTACCCCAGAGGACAGGGAGGAAGCAATGCGTGCCCCGTGCCCTGCCACCATAATTAAAGTGTCATGAGGACAGCGCGCGGTGACAGATAAACAGGCGTGGGTGTCCACACACAAATGGCTGAGTATGTGCACATGGTATCTAAGTCATTGAAAGTCAAACACCTCATCTGGTTAATCATCACACCACAGCGGATACAGGAATTCAGGCTGTGGGAATTATCTATGGAAAAGGAAAACTTAGAAACACCAGTCTAGGGAGTGTTCAAGACAGACAGAGGGAGATCAGAGTAGTAGATGAGTGGGGCAGGTTTTACTTCCTTGTTTATCTGCAGAGCAACAAAGCAAGGGAGAAGCACTGAGATGGAGAGACCTTCCACCATAGGTTCACTCCCCACGTGGCTGGATCAAGCAGAAGCAAGGAGCCTTGAACTCCATCCAGGCTGCCCCAGGGGACCCGAGCACCTGCACCACATTTTGTTGCCTCCCCAGGCACATTAGCAGGGAGCTGGACTGGAAGCAGAGCATCCAGGACTGAACTGGCACTCTGATGAGACACGCTAGTGTGTCAAGCAGCACCTATTGTGAGGTAACACCAGTCCCTCTGAGTTCTTTAATGTTTTCAACTTGTCTGTTTATTTTCCCATTTTCTTCTTACTTCAATTTCTATCCAATGGTCTTGTTATGAGAAAGCAATGACTTACACTAGGCAAAGAAACACTCATACACACACAGACTTAAACAATCCTGCCAAGACAGCACAAAGCTTTCAACACCTGGCATGTGCTGACAAGAACAGATATACCATCTTCACTTTACAATGGAAAGGTACTCACTCTTCAAGTTCAAACCACCAGCAACTCCAGATCCAAGCTGCAGAAGATGTGATGTGCTGCTGTGCGCATGCACCAAAGTAAACCTGCAGACACTGCTGCCACTGTCGAGGCAGAGCGAGGCAGAGCGAGCAGAGCAAGGCAGAGCCAGGCTGAGCGAGGCAGAGCCAGGCAGAGCGAGGCAGAGCGAGGCAGAGCCAGGCTGAGTGAGGCAGTGGCGTGCAGCAAATGCCAGCGCTTCAACTTGTTCTTCCAGTCACGGAAGTAACAGGTCACCCAGCCACAAACGCCTCCAATCCCAAGACTCCTGGCATCTGAGTAACCAGTCAGGTCAGAAAAATGCCACCTGCCTTACTCCAGTGAAGGCACTGCCACCAAGGAAATGAGGTCACTCAGAACATGGGCTCAGACCAGACGGGAAGTAGGGCAAAGGTCTGCTCCAGGGACCATTCTCCAGGCCACGGCATGACATCTAGCAGCATGCTAGGACTGTACCTAAGAGACAATCTGCTAGACATCTCGCAGCCCACGGACTGATCAATTCCAACGACCTGGGCATAGACAAACTGGCGTTTCCTGCTACACCTTTCAACGCATATACAAGAAAGTCTTCCATCAGCGGTCCTTTCAGATGATTTTTTTTTTCAGATTTATTTATTCCTATAGGAAAGTCATATATAGAGAGAGAAGGAGAGGCAAAGAGTAAGATGTTCTGTCCAATGATTCAGTCCCCAAGTGGCTGCAACAGCTGGAGCTGCAAAGCCAGGAGCCAGGAACTTTTCCAGGTCTCTCACATGGGTGCAGAGTCCCAAAGTTTTGGAACGTCCTCGATTGCTTTCCCAGGCCACAAGCAGGGAGCTGGATGGGAAGCAGGACCACTGGGACATGAAGCAGTGCCCATATGGGATCCTGGCGCATGCAAGGCAAGGATTTTAGCCACTAGGCTATTGTGCCAGGTCCAAAATGCTTCTTAAAATAATTGAGCCACCATCTATTAAGGTCCTGCCTTGAATAAAAGGCTTTCATTAAACAGATTACATTTCATCTATTAGATCTGCAGAAACCCCCTCCTGGTCTTTGGCACCCAAAGTTTACTCGGAACGCCACACCCCTCAAGCAAACAAGTGCAGAACGAAGGCTCTCTGGCCTGAGAAGGAAGCTTTCCTGTCCCGTAAGCGCTCACTGTTCCACGGGCACAGATCTACGGAGCACAGCCTGCACGGTAGCTCCTGGTAGCCCACAGCCTCCTTCGGTAACACCCATGCTAGGACCAACAAGACTAAAGTCGCCTTCTCAGAGAGTACAAATAAACTCTGCTCTCAGCAGATTAATATCCCCCAGTTTAAACTAGGATTAACACTGGAACCCCGTCAGGAAAACAGGAGTTTATGGTACAGAAGTGTTGCGTGGGGTGAGAAAGAACAGTCTTTGTCTCATGGACACGGTCCTGACGCTCGCCCTTGGAGACGTGGTGCAAGTACGTTTTTCATTACAACTTCCTGCACCAGACACACTATTGACCTTCCTGAGACTGGCTGCTTTCCCACTACCCCAGGACACGCGACGCCGTCCACGCCCGTGAGGCCGACTCCACCTCTGATTCACAGCAGTGTACTGCCCTAGCTAAGGCAGGGGCTGCATTCTCTCCTTCACACATAAGCCAGCTGCGTGGGTTCATTCATACAGATAGACCAAAGTCACGAAGGAGGTCCACCACCTCAAGGTAGACTAGCTTCAAAGGCCACAGGCTCCCAGCACGGGTGGAGCTTGCAGCCTCGCTGACGGTCAGGGATTAAAGGTGACAGCATCCTAGAGTCACCCTCAGAACAACCCGGTGTGGATTCAAATACCTTGGACAGGGCTGCTGCTGTGCCAGGTTTGACAAGCTTGCCTCCAGCAGGTGCCGAGGAGTTGTTTTCCGGTTTGACCTTTTCTACGGTTTGCGTTTTGCTGACCCCAGACACTTTAGGCGCTGAGCCGACACTCCTGCTTGCTTTCTTCATTCTGGGCTGCCTCTTCGTGATGCATTGACAAGCAAATCTGCAGAAACAAACAGCGTGATGCTGAGACTCAAACTGGAAGAAAGCATCTTAGAAATAGCTTTGTGAGGACTTTTTTTTTTACTTTGTGAAACAACACTTGGAAGGGAGAGGCCATGACGGGAAGACAGAGGCTGAGAAACCCTTCGGCTAGCCTGTCAGGATGTGCCTATCCCCAAGGCACATTAGTCTCTGCATTGATTATTTACAATTACACAGTACGCCCTACTTGATCCAGGAAAAAGAGGACCCCAACCTCTAACAGAACTGATGAGCAACAGCCCGGGGGCCAGCACCTCCAGCATTCAATGACATATTCACTAGCCTGGTACTGTATTTTTTTTTTTTAATTTATTGAATTTTATGGGTAAGTCAGGTTTACAAAGAGGAGGAAAGACAGAAAGATCTTCCATCCACCAGTTCACTCCACAAGTGGCCAAACCACAGGAGCTGAGCCAATCCAAACCAGGAGCTTCTTTCTTCCAGGTCTCCCATGCTGGTGCAGGGTTATAAGGCCTCGGGCCATCCTTGACTGCTTTCCCAGGCCACAAGCAGGGAGCTGGATGGGAAGTGGAGAAACCGAGACAAGAACCGGCACCTATAGGGGATGCCGGTGCACACAAGGCGAAGACTTCAGCTGCTACACTACCGCACTGGGCTCACAACCGGCAATTTGCATGGTGCAGCTGTTTGCAGGTGACCGGACTTGCCCAATTCTCCAACAAAGCCCTAATTTCGAGTGTTTGTTGTGCCCACACACAAGCCAGCAAGAGTTTCCAGAAATCCCGGAGCTGAATGCGTTATACAGCATGTGTCTTTTATCAAGAAGCACCATAAAAAATTGATCAAAACATTGGCACTAATGCCAGCACCGTGGTGTAATTTCTGATCTAGCTCAATGCTTGTGGTCTGGGAAAGCAGAAATTGGTCCAAGTCCTTGGGCCCCTGCATGTAAGTAGGTGATCCAAAGAAGCTTTCTGGTTCCTGTCTTCAGACTGGTCAGCTCAGGCCACTGCAGCCATTTGGGGAAGTGAACCAGTGGATAGAAGATCTCTATCTTTCCTCTCTAACTCTGCTTTTTGAATTAAAACAATTTTTTTTATTTATTTATTTGTATTGGAAGATAGAAGGAGAGACAAAGGTCTTCCACCTGCAACGGCTGGAGCTGAGGCAATCTGGAGCCCAAAGCCTCTTCCGGGTATTCCAGGCAGGTGCAGGATCCCAAGACTTTGGGCTGTCCTCCACTGCTGTCCCAGGCCACAAGCAGGGGGCTGGACAGGAGGTGGAAGAGCCAAGACATGAACCAGCACCCGTATGGGATCCCAGGACATGCAAGGAGAGGATTTAGCCACTAGGCTATTGCACTGGGCCCCCCAAATAATAAATCTTTAAAAAAAAAAAAAAAAACCTGCACCAAAATCTGGTTCAGAAACCAGGGCTTCTCTATACAGCCACAAGCAAAATCACAACCTTCATCCTCCAAAGTGCATATACTTGATTCCAGTGCTTAAAAGGCGTTGAAGTTAACACTGTCAATGCACAGAGCTGAAGCCAGACACACCCTTACGGCATATATACAAGTGTTAACTGCGCTAGAAAAGCAGTTTCTACAATAATATCATGTTTGGAAAGACATCAGGCATCATTTTGGGGAGAGTAGCATAATTAACAAAAATGAAAGCCTGCTTTTAAATTTAAGGGTTATTTAGGATGACTGAGCAACCATTTTGGGAACCAAAAGGGGAGGGGGGTGGTGTGAGGGTCTGTTTCAGGAAGATTTCCACCTATTATTACGACAGAATAACCAGAGCTGGCACAGTGTCTCAACAGGCTAACTGCTCACCTGCTAGCACTGGCAATCCATCTGAGCACTGGTTCATGTCCTGACTACTGCACTTCTGATCCAGCTCTCGGCTTCCAATCAGTCCGACCTGGCCATCGCGGCCATCGGGGACTGAGCCAACCGATGGAAGACCTTCTCTGTCTTTCCTTCTCTCTGTAAATATGCCTTTCAACTCAAAATCAATAACTTTTTTTTTAAGATTTATTTTTATTACAAAATCAGATATACAGAGAGGAGGAGAGACAGAGAGGAAGATCTTCTGTCCAATGATTCACTCCCCAAGTGAGAGCAATGGCTGGTGCTATGCCGATCTGAAGCCAGGAGCCAGGAACTTACTCCAGGTCTCCCACGCGGGTGCAGGGTCCCAAGGTTTTGGGCCGTCCTTGACTGCTTTCCCAGGTCAGAGACAGGGAGCTGGATGGGAAGGGGGGCTGCTGGGATTAGAACCAGTGCCCATATGGGATTCCGGGCATTCAAGGTGAGGACTTTAGTCGCTAGGCCACGGCACGCGGACCCCAAAATCAGTAACTCTTAAAACAAACAAACAAAAAAGACTAATGTTCTGGAAAAGAAAAGGCCTGTTCTTACAGCCCTGCTGACTACTTTACCTAGCCTGTGCTCAAACACTCCGGACTGGCTTGCCTTCAAGTAACACAAACTGTACCAACTGGTCTGGTGGCAGAAACTGTGAGCCAGGGCGCAGGGGGCTCTGCCCCGCCCCCCACATGATAAGGCGTGGGAGCACATTGCCATGACTAACACTGACTGAGACGCAGGGAAACCTTGGGGACTCTGTCCCAGCCTTTGCCCAACTTCCTGCCTGCCCCTTACAGAAAATGCCAGAGTAAAGACCAAGCTACCTAACATGCCTAGCCCTTCCCTTCTGCCCTCTTCATCTCAGCAATCCACCCCATCAGGGGTTCTCTCAGCTCCGGCTCTACCCTCCACTTGCGCATCAGCCCAGGGGGTACAGAAGATGACCAGACAGACCCGAGACCTTCTCCAAACAGACTCATCACAGCTTTTCTCACCAGTAAGGTGAGGAAATGACAGGTTGACTTCGGAAATTCATTAACTTAAAAGTACTACAGGAAATCAAGTGCCCACGACAGCTGGAGCTGAGCCAGGCTTCTGCCAGGAGTCAGGAACTCCACCTGGCTCTCCCACCTACATGGCAGGGTCCGAAGTACTTGAGTGGTACCTGCTGCCTCCCAGGGTGGGCATTAGTAGGAAGCTGGATAAGAAGTGGAGGTGGAATTTGAATCCAGGCACTCTGGATATGGAATTCGGGCATCCTAAGCAGCGGCTAAATGTACTGCAACACAATGTATGCTTTAAAAACGCTTTGTTTACAGAGTGGGTGTTGGCGCACAATGGGTGGAGCTGCCACTGGTATACCACAATACCAGGCTGCACTTTGGCATCCCTGCTACCTCGCACTTCTCTTCCAGCCTCCTGCTAATACATCTCATAGGCTCTCTGCCATTAAGAGAAATATATCAGGTCCGGAGGTGTGGCCTAGTGGCTAAAGTCCTCACCTTGAGCACGCCGGGATCCCATATGGGCATCGGTTCTAATCCCGGAAGTCCCACTCCCCATCCAGCTCCCTGCTTGTCGCCTTGGGACCCTGCACCCATGCACAAGAGACCCAGAAGAAGCTCCTGGCTCCTGGCTTCAGATCGGCGCAGCACCGACCATTGGGTTCACTTGGGGAGTGAATCATTGGACGGAAGATCTTCCTCTATTTTCTTCTCCTCTTTGTACATCTACCTTTCCAATTAAAAAAAATAAATCTTTTTTAAAAATGCATTGTGTGCAATGGAATTAGATTCTAGTCTCGGTCATAAACATTTTTTGGTCTATGTAAATTATTTAAAATGCATTCCAAATCACAGGAGTAAAAGCCCCCAATGCAGTGGGTCTGAACGCTGATGGTCTTCACGTACCATATGTCAAACACCAACCAACCACTTCAGCTGGATGAAGGCGCCCCCCAGGCTTCCTAAACAGCCCCTACTAACAGCAAGGACCACTAAAAGCATCACAATGCCTCAGGAGGCCTAGCGCCTCTGTCCAGTCATGAAGGAACTACTGACCAGAACATCTCTTGGGGCCTGCTGAAGTCCTCTGGGCGCATGGAGACCACAAAGTAGAGCGAAGCAACAAACACGATGCACAGCACTTCAAGTATCTCAAAACAAAAAAAGCTGGGGGGACCTAGCATAGCAGCCTAGTGGCTAAAGTCCTCACCTTGCATGCACTGGGATCCCATATGGGCGCCAGTTAGTGTTCCAGTGGCTCCACTTCCCATCCAGGCCGAGCAATTCCCCTGGTCAGGCACTCCCTGGGCAGCTCCTCCAGCCGCCCAGCAGCTCCACGAGACCTCCGAGGCTCTCCCACAGCAAAGCTCCCTCGGGAACAGGCACAAGCTTGGCCTGAACAAGCCTTTCACAAGAAGCAAAGCAGACCGCAACACTGAGCTACACGGCTCGGGCGGCCCTCGAGGATTTACCTTCTCCTAGGGATCAGTGTTGGCATTCTTTTTATTTTTTCCCCCAAGATTTGCTTATTTGGGGGGGGGGGGAGGGCAGATTTACAGAGAGAAGGAGACAGAAAAAAAGATCCTCGGGCCCTGCGCGGTGGCGCAGTGGTTAAAGGTCCTCACCTTGCACGCCCGGGATCCCATATGGGCGCCGGTTCTAATCCCGGCAGCCCTGCTTCCCTTCCAGCTCCCTGCTTGTGGCCTGGGAAAGCAGTTGAGGACAGCCCAAAGCTTTGGGAACCTGCACCCGCGTGGGAGACCCGGAAGAGGCTCCTGGCTTTGGATCAGCGTAGCATTGGCCGTTGCGGTCACTTGGGGAGTGAATCATTGGACGGAAGATCTTCCTCTCTGTCTCTCCTCTCTGTATATCCGCCTTTCCAATGAAAAAATAATAAAAATAAATCTTTAAAAAAAAAAAAAAAAAGATCCTCCATCCGCTGGCTCACTTCTCAAGTGGCTGCAATGGCCAGAACTGAGCTGATCCAAAGACAGGAACCAGGAGCCTCTTCTGGGTCTCCCACACGGGTGCAGGGTCCCAAGGCTTTGGGCCGTCCTCGACTGCTTTCCTAGGCCACAAGCAGGGAGCTGGATGGGAAGTGGAGCAGCTGGGACACAAACTAGTGC